CGGTATTCTGTACCCTAAAAAGGAAAATTCCTCCTCCCCAAAAACACGTCAGTCTGCTTCCTCATTCCTGTGAGGTCACATGGCTCTGTCTGCACTAAAATTAAACCCCTTCCCCACTGGACTCAAAGGCGTCCCATGGGAGAGCGAGTCGGGGATACTGGTCAGTCTCGGGCCGCTGGAAGCAGGCTGGCAGAAAGGCCTCGTAGAGACGTCGGGCTTTAGCATTTCCCATCTCCTGGACACACTGCAGGAGAAGAACCAGACCCAAAAATCGCATGACGCATGCAGAAAGCGTTCGCAAACACACAGACCGAGATCCCTGCAGCCCAAACTGCAAATGTGATGTCCCTCTCCTTTTACATAACAACAACAATAACAACAGCAATAATAATAATAATAATAATAATAATAATACATTATTGTGTTTGCCATTTGTACAAGAATGTTGGGATTCTTTGGTTTTCACATCTGCCTTTTGCTGTGCCGACAACCGACAACCAGGCACACTCTCTATCTGACCTTTCTGTGGAACCTGCGCACTCAGCCACATAAATCTGAACAGTCACCCAGTCAGAAGGTCTCCGCGCTGCCCCTCCACACCCCCAGCTAGTCGGGATTCTGACGCAAAACCGCACTCAGTGTTTAATATTTCCGGGATGAGTCAATCTGCTCAGAACATTCCAGTTCCATTTGTTCCGGGTTACGACCTTCTGTGCACAAATTCATAAGGATCTGATCTGATTATGTTACGGGGCAAAGACGCATCAGGGATCCGCAGCAGAAGCCTCTGTGCCACACACATCAACCTTACATCTTCTTAACTCTTGCTGAGGTATTGGCTCCGCCCATCTCCTCCTGACAGTCAAGTTTAAATTACAGGCGGCTAAGAAAGATCATAGAATCAGATCTGACATTAAAAATAATGCTACTAATGACAATTCTGTGGGTTCAGACATTTAAGAAACTCAGTGCGCATTCATCCCCACACTTCTATATGACACACAAAGGCATCAGAAAGTCCTTTGATGTGTAACATGCGGATATACTGATCCTGTACACAGTCACTGCGCTGACTGGCATGACTTATGGGACCCTCATAACTTGTAACGTAGAATTGGGCACATAGAAGTGTGGATAGGAAGCCTATGAGGGAGTCACACAGGGTGAGACCTCTGACCTGAATCTGCTCCTGGGTCCACTGGTCCAAGTTCACAGACTTCACCCGTGATATGTGGACTCCTAGGTTCCGGTGGATTCCAGCACAGCGGATACAAATGAAGACCCCCAGGTTCCATGAGGCCCATCTGGGGCCTGGAGGGAGAGAGAGAGATAGACTGTATGGTTATTTTATCATATGACCGATGGTTCATTTGGAGCATATCCTGGAGCATATGGGCGCAAGGCGGGGAATGACTCAGGGTGGGGCGCCAACCCATCACAGGGCCCACTCACACACAGCTATGAGCGATTTGATAACTCCAATTAACCCCCAGCCTGTGTTTGGACTGTGGGGAGGGGAAACCGGAGTATGCAGACAATGACACGGGGAGAGGCGACAGCGCTACCCACTGCACCACCGTGCCGCCTTGCAGAACTAACTACAATTAAACTATGATACATACCCAACATTCCCCCACAAGCCCGACCACAGACCAGCGTCCACCGAAGCGGGGTTACCGTGTGACCTCTGGCCTGCTGCTGCACTTACATTACACACTGCTGGTGATCAGACTGCCGTAACACAGGCCAGCACAGCTAGTGACCAGACTGGTGTAACACAGGCCAGCACAGCTAGTGACCAGACTGGTGTAACACAGGCCAGCACAGCTACAGGCGTCTGCAGTAACCAGGATTCGCAGGATCTGACTATGACATTCATCGCGATGACTAATCAGAAGTTGACGTGTCAGGAGACGAGCTTGGAGATGAAAGCCCACCCCCCCCCCCCAAGCACTCCAACTGTCTTCACAGAGGTGGGGGCGGCAGGCAGACTCTCACCAGTGGTGGAGACCATCTTCAATTTGCAACTGAGGTAACCGTGGTTATTACTCACACATACAGATACAACCAGCTTATCTGGATTTTTGAAGTCTAAGAATTCTGTGTTTTCCCCGCACTACCACATGTGGATGGCTTGTTGCTGATCATCTGCACAGTGTTCGTTGGCCTTTCTGCTGGACGTGAAGTTCCAACGCACTTGTTGCAAACAGAAAATAGAACACCTGGAATCGGTTGTGAATTTAGGTTGGTGATGGAACTCACATCTAGAAATGAGTAAATAAGCAACGAAATAGAGATTTCTTCAAAGCTTCAGTTATAGAGTTATATAAGAGCCTTCTGAGGCTACACAAGGCTTCAAAGAGAATTCGGGAGTTGCTGAACTAGAAAAGCTGGCCTCGTTCTTAAAGGAGCAAAATATGTGGTGTTGTTTTTGTGCAATTCATCCCGACAGCCACTAGATGGCAAAACTGCACCCTTAGCCTGGCACAGGATTCAAACAGGAATCACTTTACTGGGCTTATAGCTTCATGAAACACAGGAATTCCTAGTTCATGTCATGAATCTGGAAATGTTGCACATGCATGGAATCTGATCCTCGGTGATCAAAATGTGGACCATCTGTGGGTCTCCCAGGACCGGGTTGGGAAACTCTGCCCTAGATGATAGATTTTACTGCTTTGGGTGTGCGATAAACATCATAACCAGATTAATGACCATATTTCCCACTGTCACTCACACACTTTGAACAGAAGAACTCATCTCACACATTTGGCCTCCTTCATTGGCAGCCATCTGTGTGGCCGTCGCAAGCCAACGACAAGCTAAACCACAGTGACAGCACAGCCATGCAGGCGGCCCTTCAGCAGGGCCTCCTGAGCCGGGGGAGCTTGGGTCTGTTTGTGTATCTGTAAACGAACCCTGCAAATGATACGATGCAGCACATGAGAATAGCTGCAGCAGGCGGCAAAGCCCCCCAGGTCCAGCAGGCAGTGAAGCCCCCCAGGCCCAGCAGTCAGCGAAGCCCCCCAGGCCCAGCAGTCAGTGAAGCCCCCAGGCCCAGCAGGCAGTGAAGCCCCCAGGCCCAGCAGTCAGTGAAGCCCCCCAGGCCCAGCAGGCAGTGAAACCCCCTGGTCCAGCCCCCCGCAGCAGCACCGGTGGCTGAGAGACCCGCCATCGAAATCCCTCATCAGGCTTCACAGAATCTGCAGGAAGCTGCCAGGGGCTGCAGGCTTAAGTATGAAGTTCCAGCCCAGTAATGCACGCTGGTACTGTACCTTTAGGAAAATCACTCAATCTCAGGTCCAGCTACATAACTGCATCATGCAAAAACTCACCCTCAGCTGAACAAGTGAGAACTAACAAGCGTCACGCCTGAGTATAGGGGAAAGGGCTCAGATCAGGAGACCCGGGCGTCTTTGTGGGGGGGTGGGGCAGCGCGAGTGCTGTGACCGAGGTGACGGTATCTGGAAAGGCGTGTCGGGAGGAAGGCTGGTTACCTTGCTGCACAAACACCCCCCCTCCCAGCAAAGGGTCACGACCTGTGGGTCAGAGTCAGGAGTGGCTGGGGAGGTTCCTCTCCAAGCACACGGAAACCCAGGGATTTACAGGGGTGAGTGTTACTATAAAACTCATTCAGTTTACAAAAGACTTCCCTGACCCATCCAGTGCCTAAATGGCTACTGCTAGCATGTAAGACCCGATGGGACGGGAACAGCTTGTCTGCACACTGCCCCCCCCATCACAAACATTCTTATAAATACAAGCAGGTGCACAAACTTCCGCCAACCCACCAGAGGAGGCAGCAGAGAGCAAAGCCGAGGCTCAGAGTTTAGAGAAGCGTGGAGGCTAATCCCAAACTCCTGGGCTCAACCAAGGGAGTCTGCTGTTGTACCTTTGATAACGTGCACTGTGACCAAGGCGATAGTTAAGAACTACCAGGGTACCGGTAAAGGTACAAATGTGTACTAGGGTATTGCTCACAGAAGAGTCGTCCTTTTGGCTTAGGTGCCACAAGTTAATCCCCAGCACAAGAAGCAAAATAACCCGCCACCTGGCCTTCCCACTGGTTTCCAGTACAACCATTAACTCCCGGGCCACATTCCCCCCACCCCCAGAGAGCTCTGTCACAGGTCTGCGCCCTCTTTTGCGGAAACACCACACATCAAAGCTGAGGCTGACCTTCCCCTGCTGATTCCTGCCACTTCCACCACGCATCCGTCTTCTCTCAGTCACGGACAGAGCGGCTGTCATTGTCGCAGAAGAGGCTTGAACGAAATTAACAGCCAACCTATTAGAACAGTCATAAGAACAAGTAATGACTGACATCTGTCGCAAAACATTTGGTTTACACTTCAGGCAACAAATACAACTGCAAACAAACACAGCTGTGTCCAATAACTACTGAACTTTGACAAGTCACCGGGGCAACACTGGTTAGAATTCAGAATATGCAGGATTTCCAGTGCCACGTGATGTATTTTGCTACAGCCACATGGTGTTAACCACTTCCACCTCTGCTCTGTAACTCGAAAGGGTGCAGGGAAGTTACAAAGATGCAAAAGGACAGCCGACTTAGACTCACAAACTGTACCACTGAGGAGAGCAAGAAGACTTCCTCTTAAATCAGAAGCAAACTTTTAACTCCATGCCAGTGGAAATTTAGTAGAATGTTCCACTGGGCTACTTCAAACCCCCAATCATGTGACATGAATCACGTAACATTAATCATGTGACCTGCTGTGATTTTTTTCAGGCATTACAAATCAATAGAGGAGTAATGGCATTACCTGAGGAGGGACACAGGGATGGTAAGAACACATTACACCACACATGTTTACTATGCATGTGTTTTAAAGCAGATATTGTTTGTTTTCACCCTCGACAAGAAACAATTAACTGTTTAAGCTTAAGAAATGCATCAATATTTATCCTTGCTATCAACAAACTTAAAAAGGAACCAGCATATCAGAGTCTGTGCTCAACTGTAACCTTATATCTAGGTCAGGGTTATTCAAATCACGGTCCTCGAGGTCCGAGCACTGCTGGTTTTCCAGCCTTCCTTTACCTGTCAGTCAGGTGTAGAAGTCTCTGACCAGTCAGAGTCTGTAATTATTAAACTAACTACCTGGGAGAACTGAAAACAAGGCCTGGATTTGGAATCGAGGTCCAGATTTGAAGAACCCTGATTTAGGTGATTTGTCATTATTGTTCTACAAAAGTTACCATGGGCCTCTGCCCAGCTCGGCCTATAGGGCAGTGGACAGCCATGATTAAAGTTTAACTGTTCCATGGGTCTCAAGGACAGGGACAGAAAGTGACAGAGTCAACGTAGCATGGGACAGAGCCCATACCTTGGTCCAGTGACAGAAGAACATCTCAGGTCAAGGCACAGGTGCTATAGGTACCGGTCTTCATTCTCATTGATCATCCACAGTCCCGTGCCACCATCCCCCCCCCCTGCAGCCCCCTCCTCTCTTCATCACTGGCCAGTGACTGACAGAGCTACTGAAGATGTAGCAATACCATGAACACCACTGTCGCCACTGCATGTCCGCACACCCAAAGCCTCCCAAGGCTGCGCAAGATCAGCCTGACGCACAGCAGCCACCCCATGTTAGCAAAGCATCGCCCCGATTCTGAAACAACTCAGCCATCGCCGGCCGCTCCTCCACTTTGTTCCAGTTCCCATAGCCAGACTGTTCTGTAGCCTTGAGGAACTCACCCGGAAGGCAGCCAGAAATGTCCAAAAGACTAGGGAATCAGCCCCCCCCCATAGCTGTTGAGATCCTCTGATGAGCAGATGGTCCTGTGGTTCATTTATTATCCAGCACCAGACCCTCAGATACACACACAACTTTGCTATGGCAACACAAAGCTTACTACAAAGAAAAGCTGTTGCTGTTGTATTGTTTGGTTACCCAGTTCAGCAACTGGCTCATAAGGACAATGGAAGACCGGAACCCGACCTCCACAAGGGGAGGGGGAGGCCAACGGTCAAACCTAGAGCAGAGCAGGGCAGAGGCCAAGCTTACACATAATCAGCACGCAAGAGTGGAAAACTTCAAAAGAGTTGGTACTGCAAGGACGCCACCGTTGCGACAGCTGACATGTAGACACTGTCCCATGATGCAAAGCCAGGAAAACCGCTCTTACTTCACTGGGTTAGCAAACTGGACAGGATGCCTGTTAGATGGCCAAGGAGAAAAAGAACCAGCGTCTATGGAGAAAACAAAGGTCTATAATATTGCTTTGCGGTGAAGGCTTGGAAATTTTGCGTCACCTGTTCAATTCTACAGACTTTATTTAGCAACAATCTAAAAAGGAATGAAGACGCACAAGGTTTGATTTATAACTAAAAATATGCCTCAGACAACTTTTTAAACTTCTGTACAGTGGACTTGGAAACCCAGAGAACACGCTGCCTGGCAGACGGCAGTCTGAGGGCCCGGTGAAGCCCAGCCCCCTCTCCAGCCCCCTCCCCCACGCACAGCACTGTCTCCATACTGACGCCAGGACGCGTATGCAAAGCAGTGCGCGTCTTTTCATCTGCCATGGAGATGCTGCACGGAAACAAAGACGCGTTTAGCTCGGCGCTGCCTTCCCTCCCTGTACCCCCCCACCCCCCCACCCAGCCTTTGGCATGCCTGTTCAGACCTGCAGCTGAGGTCCAGTTTCAGAGCAGTGTAACCCCTACTGAAAGCTCAGTGTTCCGAATCAGAGCAGCACCATCACTTTTGGCTACCTCACCTAAATCGAACTATCAAATACACTCACTCACTCGTGGCTCAGCAGGTGCCTGTGATTGGAAGGTTACCAGTTTAAACTGCAGGATCGGCAGAGTGATGTCACCGTTGGGCTCCTGCGCGACGCCCTTAACCCCCAGCGGCTCAAGGGACAGACCCTGCTTACTCAAATATGAACGTCGCTGTGGATAAAAGCACCTGCTAAAGCAGTGAACCGTAACTGTAAGGAACTGTAATCTCTCTGCCTCCCTTCCAGCTGCCTGCAATGGGTGGCATGAGGCAGGGGAACCCGCCCCCTGGGTGGGATTTTATTTTTTTTTTAAGTATTGCTGGTCACACAGTGGAGCACAAGCAGGTGAAGACTCTAACACTCTAGGGTCTTGCATCCAATCCCCTCTGGCAACGCTCTCCTTAGCCCCTTTCCTCTCACTTTGTTATTGGCTGAGTCTTTGGCTTGGGAAGCAACCAATCCCTGAGCAGGAAAAATCGTCAGCAAGCATCTCAATGCAGCTGGACGGCAAGCAGAGGGGGAATTGTCAGTGACACCAGTAGGCGCCTGAAATCTGTAGGTAACAGGGGAAGTTTCCAGAACTGACAATGTTTACTGCCTCAGACTTAAGTGAGAATAGCAGGCTGGTGTAAGAAAAGGGTGAGAAGGACTGAACCTGTCACTTCAGCAACGATGCTTGTACTTCTGTTATTTTGAAAAGGGGAAAAAAAATGCAATAACCCAACAAGTACTGAGCTGTACGAACTTCTCCTTTTTCGCAATTATGGTTTTGCAAAATATGGTCGATGAGTGACAATGGCTGTGCGTGGAAATTATACTCAGTGCCAAAGTTCAGGCTTTCAGCTTCTGCCCAACATGACTGAATGTCACATGAACCAACTATTAGCTATGAATGCTAATAGCTAATATTTAGCTTCTGGCTCTCATGTGCCCAAGCGACTGACGCTAATTCATCAGCGTGAGTAATCGCCACAGGCCACAGTCTGCTGCTGTCACTGGTGAGAGCTGCTTAGCCACAATCGTTAAGGTATGCAGTGTACAGAAAGTCCTATATGTAGATACTAAATCAAACTGCAGAGGCCCAAATTAACTCAGGCAAACTGTACAGTATTATTTTTGTCCTGTTTACCATGAAGATAAAGGAAAATTATTTTAGGCACATACAGGAGTAGCTCACACGCATTTAGAGGGAGACTCTTGGCTTGTCCTTTAAACATACATTGCAGGAATAAGGGCGCCCCCCAAATATCACATAGGCCTATTTCTGTTTATCACAGACAAATGGCGGGGGGGTTAAATAAAAGTTCTGGAGTTTCAACACTTGACATACTGTAAGTAACAAAGGGCCAACTCAGAGAAGAGGGAATATTTACACTCGCATGCAATTCAGTGTTCCACGCATGATTAAAAGTGAATACTGACGGACACACAGGACATAAAAAGAAACATGTCGCTGTGACAGAAACTCGTTCCTCCGCATTTCCTCGTGAATCGTATATTTTGATGATCGTGAATTTCGTCATCGATCAATGACACGAAGCAGCGCCACGAGCCGCAAAGAACAGGAAGTTGCGCTCACAAGTAGCAGCTCGTATCCATGCCGTGGGTGTAAAGGTGACTTTACCGGCGATCGGAGCCGCTCCGTGCGTCCGTGCGCACAAGGGCACGCTCGGGACAACTAAAGGGGCTACAGCGTACAGTGCACAAGTTGCATGACCATAATGTACTTTTACGGGTCCAAAGGGGCATCACACCAAGTGCACAACAAAAAAAAACATCGTTATGTTGCATAGGAAAGGGGGGTCGTTTTATTGCTACGTGATATCGTAAAGCTTGGTATTTGTAACTGTTTTGTTTATAAAGGGTAATCGTTTTTATTAATCATGAACAAGTCAGATCGATCATCCAGTGAACCGCCCCCCCACCCGCCACCAGCTGAAAAAGCAGGCATCACGACATTATATTTTATGCATAAATCAACGATTTTGTGTGTATTCATAACACTGAAAATATATGTTGGGGGTAACCACCGAAAACACTTAAGGGAATCATTCGGAAACCTTGCTTTTGCTATCCACGTTCAGGTAAGATTTATTATAATTTACCGGAGGCTACCGCAATAAACACAAAGTAGAAGTTAAGACCTTAAATAATACTGCACACACCATCTTCGTCAAAACAGTTATTAAGAGGACGATGATTTAATACCCAATAACCACAATGCACGTCTTTGCTGGCAAAATAGTTGCTGAAAAGGAAATGATGTTACAGATTCTTACCTTTTGCAAGGCAATCGGCGCAGAATTTATTCTCCTCCAGCGAAAGCAGCGAAGTGAGTACAGCTTGGTATCGGTCCACGTCTTTCACCGATTTTCCGGTCATTTCAGATATATTTCAGATTCCGATGTTCAGATATTTCAGACCTGGCTGTTCTTCAAACCCCAACTTACTTAATTTAAACAGTGTCAAAAGAGAACAAAAACAAGATGTGTGCCTTCCGCCGTGTTTTATAATGAATAGAAAACAAGACAATAATTCTGTTAATGTACAGATAACTGTTGATGATTAATACCGCAGTCCTTATCTGATTATTAAATTCTGAGCGCGCAGTGCAGTACCGCCACAATAAATCTTTTACTATGTATTTGCGTTAATTATAATTAAGGGATCGCCTCACGTGCGGTAGCAGCGAGCCCCGTTTCTCTTTCAAACTGTCTCGTCTGCTGTCCTCACTTATCATAAACCCAACTACGGCTCAACTACCGTACATCTCAGTCGGATTTCCTGTTTCCGCCGCCCTTTAAATTCATCACTATTAAACACTCGCTATTACACAATTCTGACCCTGTCTCTCACAGCTATGCCCATTTCTCGATTCGTAGTCACCAAATAAAACCAACTGGATTTACATCCAAATCCGCAGTAAAGTATATAACAGGAATATAAATATTTACTTAAAATACCGCAATAACCGTAGTCTTAGCCGTAATATTTCGACTAAAGGTGCACTACATGAAGCCGTCCCCCGCTTTATTAATTGAAATAGCGCGCCATCTGCTGTTTAACCTGGGGACAGACGTTAAAGATAAAGTTAAAACGGGCAGTTTTAAAATCTTGTAGGCGCATTGGAATTTCACAATCCCCCACTAAATATGCTGCCATTTTAAAAATATTCTTTTGATTCTTAATATGTGGGTACCGTTTGTTTTTTAAATAATGGGGGGAAAAATCATAAAAATGCAACTTAAGGTTATGTTGTATATATAAATAGTTGGAAGAGACGAGTGCTGTTTTTTGGGTAAGCATTACAAATAAAACAAATACACCTCACATCGTTTCGTTTAATGGAGTCTTCGCTACATGTAATTCAGGTGAGGATTTTTAAACAGCATAACCAACGCGTGATTACTTAGGCTGCACTTGTAAACACCGATCAGAAATACATGCGCCATAACAAAATACCTGAGAATGCTTTATATCGGTGAGATCTATTTAAATTCATTTGCACAATACCAAAGTTAATTATCCCTTTTTGAAACTTGTATTAATATTATAAAGTATAATAAAAGCAACGTCACAATTTATTTTAGGCCAGATTGAGACTTTAAGAATTTATTGATTAATAGCCAATATAACGAGGAAGAGGTTTTACCTGTGACCAATACATTAAAAACCAGGGAAATGTTCTCCATTTTTTTTAATTAAATCAATTATTTTTGACATTTACACAATTACAGACCTGAGCATTTCTTACGGGGCTGTGGTACAACGACAGGCCTCTAGCACCGCACTGCACTATTTAACATAAAACAAATGATCTGAATATGCTATTTTTAATACGTGCATCTGATCAGTTGAGAGATGCAAAATGTGCTATCCCACAATCCTTAGCAAGCGCTCCAGTAAAACGGGAAAGTTCTCACCATTCCGAAGTTTATTCCAGGTGGAGAATAATGGCAGCTGTATCCAATGTCTTCCCTCAGAGTCCTGCAGCCTAAGCATATTCATGAGCCACTGGGGTCTGGTTCCGCCCCCAGCGTTAGTGGGAAGCCCGCAGGTCCGTCAGATCCTTAGCGTCGGGCGCTGAGGGCTCCCAGTGTTTCCAGGGGCTGGATGTAGGGCTGGCTTTCCCTTGCTTTTCCCCCATTTGATTTCTTGTTTCTTTGCCTTGAGTGAGTTTACGTCTTTAGCGTCCCGGAGTGGACAGGGAGCGGCCGGCAGACTCGGTATGGAGGGATACTTTGTGACTCTGAGGACTCTCATCCTTCTGCAAGCTGTGTGTCTGATTTTGGCCCAAGTGGTGAGTGAGGCGTCGGCGTCCCTTTGACGGCTGGCGGTCCGAGGAGGAGTGCGAGGTGCTCGTGGGATGGTGGGGAGGTAGTGACTTAGCGAAGCTGGCTGCTGCTCAGAGCTGGGACACCCTGGACGGTCCCCTATGCCTCTGAGAGGGACCACTGAGGGCTTTGGGAGGACCTTCTCAAGAACCAGAGGGATCTCAGCCGAAACCATTCGATGTGACTCCCGCTTTAATGCATTTAAGTCCCGGACTCTCAATGATATATTTGGGTTTGAGATGTTGAATGAGAGTCAGCGGCTTTTCGGGTTATATTTCTGGTGTTTGTGTTCAACTTTGTGATTCACTTTTTGGTGAATATAGGTCCTGTATAGCTAATATACAAAATGCAAAGCAAGTCTGGATCTGAATATTTGAGATGGTTGTGATTCATTTTTGTGCCTAGGTGAGTAAGTAAGTGCATCACGTTAGTAGTGAAAACTATGTGTGGAAGGAAGCTGGTGTGAGTAGGGAGAGAGGGAATGGAGAGACACACAGGGCTCTGTGTTTAATTCTTTTAGCTGGTCACTGTAAAGATAGAGTCCACTGAGGAGAGAGCGTCATTAGCTGCACTGAACTGCACTGGGGGGGGGGGGGGGGGGGGGGGGGGGGGGGCTAAAAGGCCATAACTGGAGCTCATTTCTCCATAGTAAATACTCAGGCTATGGGGAAAAGTGAGTGTTGTCATGTTCCTATGATGAAGAGTTATACCGCACTGGTCCATTTGCAAGGTCCGTTCATATGAGAAGAAATTTCTTCAGAAGGCCTCAAAATCTTTGGCTGCATCAATGGCAGAATTAAATTTCAGCGTCTGCTACGGGGCCCTCGCTGGGAATTCGCACCCTGCTCCCTGCAGCCCGTAGCTAATGCCTTTCTCTCTAGGTGCTGTTAGCAAACAGCCATCAAGCACACAAGCAAAGATAACAGACCAGTGTGAAAAGGGAACTGGACTCTCTACCTATCTGTGTTCATTATCCCATTTGCAGTTTTAAATCTGCAAGCAAATGAGGAAATAAAATGATAGATTTTCAAATTTAAATTTTAAGTAGCCGAGTTGTAATGAATTAAATTAGTTATACCTCATGCTGTAAAATAGGTCTGTTAAGCAGTATTACTAAATCAAAAATCGAATTATTACATGCCAGTGGCTGTATTTCATTGCAGGCCAGTCCACCAGGACAGCTGGGTCCTCTCGGACCTCCAGGACCCTCAGGAATCCCTGGGTCTGATGGTATCGACGTGAGTACTGGAGTTATTTTGCCGCACCAGTTTGTGAGAGCAGTGTACAAAGACAGCCATTGTACACTACGTGATTCGAAGCGAGCGCTCTACCGCAGCATTGCAGTCATGCCACCAGAGGGCGCCCGAAACGAAAACATTGCAGTACAAAAAGAGCACTGTGCTCCGGTATTGAATATTCTTTGAAAAGTTCTCTTCCTTTTGGAAACGATCTTGCATTAGGGTGAGAAATGTGATAAGGTTGATGTGCTATCAAATGTCGCCACATATTTTTAAACTTTGGGGACAGTTTTATATTTATCGATTCACTTAGAGCCGTAAAAGCATAATTTACAGCTATCCAGGTGTGAAGACATAATTATGTTCAGTGACATAATTTTTTTTGTAAAGACATGAAATTAATAGATGAAATTCAAGTCTATAAGGGCATAACAACTAAAATAAATATGCACAAAATATATTTTTGCGAATATTTATATATATAAATTTCCATAAATTTCATTGTGTGTATTTTAAACCGCAATAGGTGTACCAAAGCGTGAAACTGGCTGTTAGCTATGACAGTTAAATATAATTATAAACATGCCCACATACAGTACATATTTACATTCCATTCTATCCATCCATCCATCCATCCATCCAGCTGCTTGTCCTGGTTAGAATGACAGGCAGCCTTGGGTCTATCCCAGGTTACACAGGGTATGAGGCTGAGGTACATCCTGAATGAAATTCCAATGAGAATATCTCAGTTTTCCTCTAAAAACTAGGTAAAAATCAGACATGTGTCCCATGAAGTTTAGCGCCATCCAGTGGTTGTGAAATGTAACTGAATTTTAATTGTCTATCTGCAAGGTTAGGACCAGCAGAACTCCTTCCAGTAAAGTTTGTGAATTGTGTTTGTGAATAACCCTGTGAATAAACCCTGAATAACCTCTGTCTCTCTGCCACACTCTAGGGAGAGAAAGGACTCCCAGGCCCCCCCGGCCCAGTAGTAAGTACCATCCCTGCAGCAGAGAGGCTAACCTCAGAAAGAGTAATTGCACAGAGTGTGTTTTGTGAATACTTACCCCTCTGTTATCATTTTTAGGGTGCCAAGGGGGAGCCAGGAGAGTCAGGGCGGGATGGTGCCCCAGGAGAGAATGGAATTGATGTGAGTCCTGCTGTGGGGTTTTTGGCGTTTTACGAGAACCGCTTTAGGTGCTGCTAGAAGGTCAAAGGTCACAGTCCACTTTAGTGACTATGACAGTCTCAAGGGGCACCAAGTCATAGTTTCAGGTAATAAATGTCACATTGTGTGGACCCTGGAAGGATGAGAATTCTAGAGCTCCAGTATATAAACAGCTGATATATGGAGAGAGTAAAAGGTTTCCCAAATGAGTATTTATAATTTTTTACAAGTTCTGCTGTAGGGAAAGGACAGTGAGGATACCTCCTGCTGTGTCTCAGTCACATAAAAAGTTAAAACCCCAACTCAGCAGGGATTTGTAAACTAATCCATCCAGGAATTTCAATCCCAGCCTCTTCTCATCGCACTGAAATGTCAAAATGTGTTAAGGGGCTGTTAGCCTCTCAGAGAGCAGAACTCCTTCCTAATGATGGCAAAGTTTCCCTGCACCTTACTCTAACAAGGTATATTCTAAGACATTATAGTCTGTCAGCTATTAGATCCCTAGTGTTACTGAGGATCTCTGAGCAATTTGTACACTAGCTTACAAAACAGGGGCAGAAGGAATTAACAATGTACGCTGATATTGCATTGGCTAATCTGTGTGGAAGTCACACCTCACGCGAGGGTGGTAGGAACCCCAACAGCCTTATTTGCCTCAATGGACCAAAAGTGAACCATCAATTAAACATAAAACACAGACAACCAAGCACTTGGAAAAATGTATGTGAGATGGTACCTTTGTGGTGGGACAAAAAGACCTCAACCGGGCTCCCATGATGCATATCTCCTCCCACCTGGTCCTTCACCTGCTCCTTTCCCGTGATCCCGGCAGTGGGCCTGGTGAAGTTTAGCACTTCTCTCTCTTTGTTCCAGGGGCTGATTGGACCAAAGGGAGAACGAGGGCCAATTGGGAACCCTGGCCCCAAGGCAAGACCTCCCCTTTCACCAACCAGCCAATGACGCAGCACGCCCATTTTGTCAAAAATCAATGTCTGCCGTCATAAGATGTTCTGCTACTTACCTGCATTTATGGAAGCATCTCAGACATGATCTACCTCCTTCACTAAAACCCAGTTACACCCAGCCAAATTCCGCTTACCTTCCACAAACTTTATACTGTCCAACTGTAACGTACACAAATCAGAACCAAATCTAACCCATCCTGCGGTTCTTCCAGGGCCAGCCGGGGCCCGTAGGAAGACCTGGACCGCCGGTAAGTACAGCCATTTCTCCATGCCACGTGATTAGTCCATCAACATCAGGCAGTGTGATGTTTAATACACACCAAACAGCGTTCTGTGAGGAGATATTAAGATGATCTAATCAATGGGACTGTCAGGACTGTCAAACTTACCTTTACTTTTAGGTCCCACAATGAAAATAGGAAGAATATATGTTTCATAATACACAAGCAACTAAACATGCTTCTGTCAAGAATCTTATCTCGCCCAAATGCTTTCCTGGGTTTATTATTTGAAGAGCAGACACTTATATACAAGCAAGTTAAATAAAACAAAAAAGACCACCAGCTGGCTTTTAGAAACCTCATCCCTTATTAACGGTACATTTTAAACATGTTCTCTGCAATATTCTCTTATTTCCTCGCCCATTATGTAACAGAAGTTTTACAAAACTTTTCAGCCATGATAAGTACAGTATAATAGTAGTAATAAGTATAATAGCGGGTCAGTGAACTGCCACTTCACTGTGAACCAGTGAACCAGTGCTTCACTGTTAACCTAACTGTGTTATTCTTTCACTGTCATGTAGGGGCCTGGACTTCTCGGACTGCCTGTAAGTATAGCCAGACTGAAGGTCCAGTGTGTCTTGACTGTAAAACACTGCAAATTGTGAAAGAACTTTGCCAGCACCTACCAGCCATTGCCAGAGTTGCCCAAGAATAAAGGCTAGCCTCTCCAAAACCTGGGATTCCTGTGAGAATGTCTCAGTTTTCCTCTAAAAATGAGATAAACAGACATGTGTCTCATGAAGTTTAGCACCATCCAGTGGTTGTTAAATGTAACTGAAATTTAATTGTCTATCTGCAAAGTGAGGACCAGCCATACAGGGCCCAGTAAAGTGTCGCGGTGTTTGTAACCATACCAGGACTCATCGGACTCATCAAGGCCAATCAGAGTTTGTTTGGTGCAGTACATTTTTAAAGTTGCCATAACGTACCTTACATGGCTTTTCCATAGAGAAAATAAAACAAATGGGGAACACTGTGCTTAATAACACTGCTTAGTGTTATCTATGCTTAATAACACTGCTAGTGTTATCTATGCTTAATAACACTGCTAGTGTTATCTATGCTTAATAACACTGCTAGTGTTATATGCAGCATATCCCCTTCATTTCCTGTAAGGTACATTTTGCTTTCAGAAGCGTATTTGCTGGATCTAATGGCATGTTATCTTCTCCTCTGTCTCTGCATCTCTTCTCCCTCTGTTATTACCAGGGACTGCCTGGTCCAATTGGTCTGCCAGGTGTAATGGGAAAAGCAGGCATCAAGGTATTAGCTGGGTTATCACCATGGTTACCAAGCCCGTTCTGCAAGGCGTGTGTGCCGGTGTGTGTGTATAATATTGTTCCTCTTTTTCCTGCTCTTCCACTCTTAATTAGGGCCTGATGGGTCCACCCGGGTTTCCAGGATTACCAGGACCCCCAGGCAAACCAGTAAGCTCACTCGGTGATAGACCAGTATAACCTCTGTAACCTTACCTTTTTTCCCAGTCAGTGATGAGTTAACGCTTCCAAAGAAATATGCATTCAGAGGTATGTGAAAAGAATATAGGAGCTGGCAGAGATATTAGACACTTGGACCGCAGGTTTCTTGGTTTTTTAAGATAAGCTGTATGAGGTGAATTGTTTAGCTGTATAACTGGAGGAGCGCGAGTGCAGAGTGGAAGCTGGTGAGCTACAGAATGGTGCAGAATGTGATCGACCGCAGAACTGCGAGTAGCTGAAGTGTGGAGAATGAAAGGGCAGCACTCAGGTGAAATCGGTACATCGCAAAACGCTGCTGGGCAGTAGAGGGGTGTCTGATGGCCGCTTCTCAAGGCCAGACGAGCGTGTGGCACAGAAGCAGGTGCTTTCTGTGGGCTGTGGGAAGATAGACAGTACAGACGCTCCTCTACTTATGAAAGAGTTACGTTCCGAACGGCCGTTCGTAACTTGAAATGTGCGTAAGTCGTTATTCAACATCATTTTAAGGGTATACGCAAGTACAAAGAACTAGGATGCTGGGAGTCCGCACGCTACGCTGCTGCTGCGCGCCCCCGCACCCCTGACTCTCCCCATCTTTGATGCCCCCCCAAACGCCAGACTCTTCAGACATGTTAGTCACTCACACCGAAGCTGGGGTTTGCTCCATGCGTGAAGCTCACAGACCAGAAGGTTGACGTGCACCTCCAACCTCAGACAGACCTGTAACTGTAACTCCTGTAACTCCACCTGTCTGCAGGAGGTTGGGCTGCTAAGAGCCAATAGTTGCTCCGAAATGTAGTTATTCTCCATCCCAGCCTCAGTGAAATACATATTCATGAGCTAGCTGAGTGCAGAAAGGCTTTTTGCTGAGTAATGTTTGTAGCGTGCTCACATTTCTCTGCCCAGCTAGCATAGCGCAGCTAGCACATTAGCGCTTAGCTTAGCCATTAGCACTGCTAGCAGCCAGTTGGTTGGGAGTCCTTTCAGGTTGAATGATGTCGGTGTGTCTCCTTTTTTTCATTCAGTCTTTCCACTTCTCTCCAGGGCCGTCCAGGAAAGTTCACAGGAGAGGAAGGAAGTGCAGACTTCCAGGTAAGACCTGCTTTCCCATTCAGACTCTTCCTCCTCCTCCTCCTTCTCTTCACCCTAAACTTGTTGCCACTCGTACAATAACCATCTAAATGTAAGTGATCAGCAGACAACCAGACGGGAAGGCATGCAGACAGATGGGAGGGCATGCAGACAGACGGGAGGGCATGCAGATAGACGGGAGGGCATGCAGATAGACGGGAAGGCATGCAGATAGACGGGAGGGCATGCAGATAGACGGGAAGGCATGCAGATAGATGGGAGGGCATGCAGATAGACGGGAAGGCATGCAGATAGACGGGAAGGCATGCAGATAGACGGGAGGGCATGCAGACAGACGGGAAGGCATGCAGATAGACGGGAAGGCATACAGATAGACGGGATGCATGCAGACAGACGGGAGGGCATGCAGATAGACAGGAGGGCATGCAGACAGACGGGAGGGCATGCAGACAGACGGGAAGGCATGCAGACAGACAGGAAGGCATGCAGACCATCAGGAAGGCATACAAACAGACAGTAGGGCATGTGGACCGACAAACACATACCATGATAAATTCTGTTCAGGATCACAACAAACTGCCTTTCTATCTTATTCTATCTTCCCTCTCTTTCTCTTTCTTTTCTTTACTTCCTTTAATTTTTAGAAATCTACTGTATTGATTTTCACTACTGCCCATACTTAAATCTATTTAATTTTATTTCTGTTTTTAATTATTCTTAATCTATGTTCTACTTTTTTCCAAATGCATTCACCAGTGCTGCCAAGACAAATCCCTAGTATCTGTAGTTGCTTCCAGCCAGCGAATTCTGACTCTTTTCCTAAATTCAGTTCACTTTAGCATGATCAGTATGTGCTGTTTATGTCTGGTGCACGGATCAGGACCAGTTTTCCCTTCCCTTCCAGTGTCCCACAAACTGTCCAGCAGGACTGAAGGGACCCCAGGGTCTTCAGGGAGTTAAGGTTAGAAGAAATCACGAGCCTGGATAGAATCTCCAAATGGTCTCTCTACCTTGATGGAATGGTTGGCCAGTAATTCGATGGTATTCTCTCCCCCAGGGACATAAGGGTCGTGCTGGGATGCTGGGCGATTCCGGGAGCATCGGCAAGGAGGTACGTGCAGGAGCAGTTTGCTGGTCCACAGCACCATCAAAACACCCTCTCATATAGGACTTCTATCAGCTTCTCATATACAAGGTGTCCTCCTGAACAAGAACTCCAATCAGCATCTCAGCTGATGGTTTTGGCTACGGAAATTACCCTGAACATGAACGATGTTTAATGCGTAGATTTTCAAGCAGTTCAGACAGTAAGAGAAAATCAGCTAGCTTCTGAAGGGTGGGAGGACCGCAGATAAGATGGTGGTTAAAGAGGGTGGCCAAATTTAGCTGTCTTTGGATAAAAAGCAGCATTTTAGCATCCGACATATGAGAAAGGAAGGTGTGCTTCAAGGCCAGAGTGGTGATGACCTACCCTGGGGATTGATGGAAAATGATGTGCATTTAGGTGGTCTGTAGGTGATCCACCTGACACCCACTACACCGTGGGATGATGATCCAGACCAGTGGAGCTGGATTAGTGATAATGATGCCTCCTGAGTAGTGATTGGCACTAATCTAGCTGCGATTAGTCAGTCCTGGCTGAAGCAGAACACAGATGACTGAGATGAAAGGCATCCTACAGGGAATGGCATGGCTGGCAAAGCCAGGTGAATTAATCCGAGTTAATGAGCGCCTGGAGGACACAGAAGCTGTGATGTAACGTGTAAGCTGGTCCATGTCGCAGCACCACTCGATCGCAATCAAGGAACGTCAAAGCCAGCAATGGAAACATCTACTAAACGACATTTTAACTAGTCAATGACTGTGTGTTATCATTTAACCCCACTGAATATCTCACGTTTTGTAGAGAAAAGAAGCAAAATACACATACTGACTGTCAGTCGCAAACTAGCAATGAAACAAAAATAATATAGACGTCTCCAGAATTCTGATTGGTCTATTGAGAGTTTGAATAAAATTGCCCCCAGGCTGGTGTTAGGTTATTCTGAAACAAACCCATCCGATACCGTATTCACTGGAGTACCTGCCGATTTAGGGATGTTTAAATATTCCAGAGCAGGTTTTGAAGCCACACATCAGTAGGCCTTGGGCCCCAGCTGATCACATCAAGTGACATTTTAGACAGGCTTCACAGCCCGGGTCGTCTCTGTCGCTCAGCATGGTGACACAGTCCGTCAGAACCAACACGGAGTCGTGCTGTTATATGTGCGACACGATAACTGCGTGGGATCGTGTTCTCTTTGCTCTGCTGTCGTTGTTGGGTGCTGAATATGTTCCTGTACAGAGAGGCTGTTTCCTCTGAGTCAGCTGCTGCAGTCACGTGGCTGACAACATTTTTTGTTGTTAGTGTGGCATCAGCCTGTATTTGCTGAAAGCATTTCAGCGTTGTCCATAAATGAAATAACTCGTCATATTCATCATCATCATCATCACCCCCAGCTTCATTAGTTCTCTTAAATGTGTAGGCAGCGTATAGAGCAGGTCAGCCTAGACCTTTGCAGCTCCTCTGGGGTACCTTGGAACATTCCCAAGTAATCTGGGAGATGTAATCCCTCGAGAGGGTTCAGTGTCTTCTCCGGGCATCCCTCCGATAGGACGTTCTCCGAACTCCTCACCCTGTCATGGAGAGTGAGCGCAGCGATCATGCAGAGAAATCTCATTACCGCTGCTTGTGTCATTTCTTTCAGTCATTGCCCACAGCTGGTAACCATAGGTGAGGATAAAGATGCAGCCTAACCAGTAAACTGTGACCCTTGTCTGACTCCTTACTTCCCGTTTACCATGGAGCTGCTGAGTGGCCAAAAAAACCGCAGCTACTAAACTGCACTGCATCTCAGTCTCATGTTCCATCTCACCATCTCTAATGAACAAGATCCCAAGGTGTCTAAGCTCCTTCACTAAGGATAGACGCACCATCTCTTGTACCTGAAAGGGGCAATCGATTCTTTCCCAAGAGAGCACCATGGCCTTGGTTTTGGAGGTGATAATTCTCACCCCTGTAGCTCCACACTCATCAGATATATCAGGGGTGTTCTGGAGGTCCTGGAGGGGTCGGGCCAAAAGCATATTATCTGTGCATATCAGGGCTCTCACCTCTACCCCCACCCATACTGAACATATTGCCAGCCCAGGCAATGCCTTGATGTTCTGTCCATGAAAACCACAAAGGCCCTAAGCCTGACTTTCACTTTGGTACGTGTTACACAATCTAACCGCAATCAGTTGTACATAACGTTAAACTGCTCAGATGAGAATACTCGGACCAAAATAAACAAGTTAATTCATTCGACGTGTAAGTGCTTCAGTTCTTGAAGATGTTTTTAGAGATGAAGCAGACGTGATCAAGGCCCGAGGACGTTCCCCACGCTGCACAGAGCACCGCCATTGTTGCTGGGATGTCTCTCCTTACTCTTCTCTCTTCTCCTTGCAGGGAATCAAGGGCGACGTGGGAATCTCTGGAGAGCAAGGAATCCCTGGACCTCCGGTGCCCTATTTCATTCCTGTTGGGTTGGGCAGTTCTTCAGCTGTATTCTCAGGGGCATTGTTAGGGCATGACGTGTTGAGCGATAACCTGGGAGATGAGCACTGGGGTGACGGCAGCTTCTGATGGTCTCTCTCCATGCCCTCGCAGGGTCCCAGGGGGCTCAGAGGTTACCCCGGAATGGTTGGACCCAAAGGGGAACCGGTAAGTATACCAGAGAATGGATTAAAGAGAGCAGATACATTTGTAACCATGTTGGCTCATTTTAATCTATGTCGTTAGCATAAGAACATACGGAAAAGAAATGCAAACATCAGATGTTATCGAGGAGGGTACGGCGGGTTGCGTCCGTTGCGGTCCGTCTGTAGTAGACGATCCTGAAGTTTGATCTGTCTTACAAGGTGCAACAGAATGCCAGCATGCAGGAGTTATTAACAAATTAAGCAACCTGTAATCTGTTAAATCATGGCAATTAGCATGCCACTGTGTTTAGCATCTTCACACATTTCTGTGTTTACATCGCTGTAATCACCTTTTAGAGATAAGTGTATTGAGAGAAATTAAGTGGAGGTACAAAACGTCAACACGTCTTACGCAGGCTTTATTTGACACCAACCAATCAGCCATCTGTTTTGCTCTTATGTTTTTTTATACTTAGAAGAAAATATGATTTTTTATCCCCCTTGCCCAGTTTTGGTTTCAGACTTGCTGGACTACAATATTTCTTTGGTCGTTCTTTTTGATTAGGGTCCTCAGGGATACAAAGGCATTGCAGGACCTATTGGCATTCCTGGTCTACCGGTGAGAGCAAGTTATTCTATCTTGCATATATGAATACATTTTATAGTTAATATAAGTCCAAGCTAATTGACAGTGGAATCTATTTCTATCTCAGACACTTAAAAGAAAAGTTATTCCCACTGTAAATACAAGACTGTTTTACAAAGTTGGTCTGGCATTGTCTGACTATATTGTTAGTGACTAGATGCTGGCCTGTGTACTGGGCGCCCTGTCTACTGTCCAGCACCAGCATTCCATTTGATTAAAGACACTTTTGATTTCTTCCTCTGATAGGGTGAGGAAGGACCCCGGGGCCCACCAGGAAGTCCTGGTGAGAAGGGAGACTTGGTAAGTGCTCATCTATTGGTCTGTTTGACCCAGCTGATTGACTGTCCGGCCAATGAAAACAGCTCTTAGAACAGGCAAAGCAAAGGAAGCTATCCCTGCAATTGGCTCTTGTCTAGATATAGATATAGAGCTTGTACCGTACAGAGTATGATTACGGTTATGCTTAGTTGGAGGTTTGTCAGCAAACTGCCAACTCTACCGAATCAAGCAAGGAGTAACAAGCAACTTTACCCAAAAACATGACTGGACTTTATGCTACAGGATGCTTCAGTAAGCCATAAAACTGCATGTTCCCATCTACAGAGACACGCAGTGACTTTTATACAGTAATCCAGCTCCTATTTCACGACTCTGGTGGCTGTTGGCAGCATATCGCTGTGATTGGATGGTACCTGATACTCATTTAGTTTTATAATCAATGTCTACAGGGCGCTCGTGGTATCAGGGGGCCGCAGGGTGTCGTTGGCAAAAAGGGGGAGCACGTGAGTAAAAATAACTGAATTAAATCTATACAGCTTGTTCACATGTTCTCTTCTGTTATGTATTCTGGGTGAATAATGTTAGTATTAATATTAGGTAATGCTAATCGCTAATGCTAATATCATCGCTATCATTAAGGGTTTGCCTGGCATTGATGGGAAGGATGGCACACCTGGCATTCCTGGAATGAAGGTAATTAAAACTGGGCGCAGCTGCCACAAAAAGGCACAGCTGAAACATTTTTACCTCCCTCGTCTTAGTCTTTTCAGAATGCTGTAGTTAGTTATGACCTTACTGCAATGTCACAGCAATGATGAGGGAGTGTTTAATTCGTTAGAGATCTGGAATAGAAGCGCCAAGGCGTAGGTGGGGGAATTAATCATCGTCTACCATTATGTCGCACACTGATTTTCTCTCTTTGAATCCCCTCGTCTGGTTTATCTCTAGGGAAGCCAAGGACAAGCTGGCATGCCAGGACCTCCAGGCCCACAGGGGGCAGCGGTGAGTAATTCTCCAGATAATGCGGCAGTATTGTCTCCCGAGCATGTGCCCGCAGCAGAGTTGATGTAGGAGTCACCTTGTCGGTGAAGTGACGTTTTCTCCATCAGTACATATAGTCTTTTCCTGCTGCTTTGCGCCACTTAAGAGTTACCATATAAGCTGCCTGGGCATTTCACCAGCAGGACATTGTCACCCTTCCTACTTCTGAATTTAAACCTTCAAATATCTCTGTCACAATTAATCGTTTTTAAGCGCTCTTTGTGTACGCGTGCCAGGATAATGGACCGTATTAGGCATGCATACTGCATTCCAGGCACACTGGATAACGTCTGTGAAACGCACAAATAAATTACAGGCCTCAGAACCTCAAAACAGAATGATATCCAGGAGGCACGTAGCCATGCAGTAAAATAACCCGTCAGAGCCCCCTTGAAACTTATTTGGTACTGATCAGGCATGTAGGCAGGTATCAAACCTACAAGCTCCAATGCCCCAAGAAACCTTCTAGCACGGCTGCTGGACACCCAATTAAAATATTTCTGGGTACCGGCCAGATATCTAGGAAACCTCAAAAGCAGTGGGTTTGACCTACGACTCTGTGCCCTTTAGGGATTGCCGGGCAGCCCAGGGCCTAATGGAGGACTGGGGGCAAAGGTGAGGCCCTCGCCTTTTGATGTCATAACGAGGTGTTACACTTTATTGCAGGGTTTTGTGACTTTTTCTCATTAGTATCTATAATTGATCTGTTACTTGTTGACTCCAGACTGATTTCCTGATTTTCCTGGTTTACAGCAGTTCTGTGGACTTACTTTTAATAATCAGTAATCCATTGATTATCTACAGTACATGTTAAATGTCACTATATCTATTCAATGTAGAGACATATTGCAATTTGTAACACCTGAACTATCAGAAATGTAACATATATTGCTGATTTTGTATGGAACTGCACCTGTGTTTAAAAGAGACTTCCCCTCTCTCTGTTTCGGCGGGTAGGGTGAACCTGGACCCCGGGGTTTGGTGGGAATGACTGGCCCTCCCGGACCTCAGGTGGGTCACCTTTGACAATGAAACAGAGAACATTCAAGAACATCCACATGATGCAGCATAGTTATGTTACTAATGCAAGGCAGCAGTGCTTAGTAGTTGAAGAAGTGGCTTTTTATGGCTGGGGCTTCAGTTAGGGAAAGTATCTCCCAAAGCAATGGTTTCTAAACCACTCTCTCGAACCCTGTCCACAGGGCGAGCCAGGCCGACCTGGAGAAGTAGGAATGGAGGGTGTTCCTGGCCCAAAGGTAATTCTCAGCAGCCCGGAAACTTCCGGAATTCAGACGAGCAGTCTTCCCTGCCTGCTGACTGTCCCAGCTCTTCTCCTCCACAGGGGGACCGGGGCCAGAGAGGACCAGTGGGGCCTCAGGGAATCGTCGGACAGCCTGTAAGACATCGGGGGACTTTGGTTGACATACAGTAGCAGTGTGGTTGTGTTTTTGAGGATGAGTGGAGTCGAAAAACTAAATGTATAAATATTTATTAGGTGCACCTAGTTAGTAACAGGTAGGATCCACTTTTCCCTCCAGATCTTCTACAACAGTAGACAAACTGTGAATTCAAAGAAAGCTTTCCGCACGCCACTGTTGTTCTGAGCTGTTAGTCTTGCACTTGTGACCTTCTTGTTAGCTGTAATATGATTGGCCATTCGCTTCTGACCTCTTCTCTGACAAGGTGTTTCTGCCTTCGGAACTGACACTGACAGGAGTTTTTGTTCAGAAGCACCCTTGAGATATTGTACTGTGCGAAAATCACAGGAAGGTGGCTATTTTCTAAGATACTGGAGCCGACGAGACAGGCACCAACAATCAGTTCAACCAAGAATATTCAAAATCATTCACCATCTTACCATACGTCTTAGCCACGCTAATGCCTAGCCAATCAGTAACCGGACATTTTGACCCTGTATGTGTGGTCGGTGTGTGCATTAACGAGCTGGTGTACCACCTGCAGGAACTATAGGGTCTGTTTGCAATCTGATATCTTTTTGAGGATGTGACTGCATGAGTAAAACCTGTATTTCGACTGTGTTTGGTTTTGAGGAGTGAGGTGAGATCACCATAAACTTGGTCACTCCCTCACTGGCTCTTCCTTTTATACAGGGCAGTAAGGGAGAGAGAGGACCAATGGGTGTCCCCGGACCTCAAGGCCTCTCTGGGACCAAGGGCGACAAGGTGGGCGTGTATCTCTTTGTCTTGGTGGATTCACAGCACTGGCACTTCTTGGCCACATGGTGGCACTCTTTACACATAAAACTCTGTTCCATGGAAATGCTGGTGCCCTGGCGGAACTCCAAGGTCTTCGGAGGCTGAGATTTAGTTGACAATTTGGATTCTAAATCCAAATCCAAGGTGTTATTTTGAGAATCTTTGTTATATAGCAAGAGTCCTACATTAGCCGCAAGTTGCTAACTTTGTAAACTTCCTGACTCGGGTGATACGTACTCACACAATTCCTTCATTTAAGATGCTCACGTATGGAATAGAGTGATTGCCAGATGTCTGATCTAACCCATCTTATTTTTACAGGGATTCCAAGGAAAAGTTGGAATGAAAGGAGATTTTGTAAGTGTGCCTCCACTTAACAGAACCCTTTATATTTTGGCTTTGCTGACAATTGAAATCATGGTCTCTTGCAGTAGGGGAAATATTTTTTATCATGGTATAGCTGGCACTCAGCTGGGAATTTCTGCCTGACAGGGTGATCCAGGTGTAGAGGGACTGGCGGGAGAGAAAGGAGAGAAGGTAAGAGGGTGGTGGGAATCGGGGAAAGGGGGGTTTAAGATGCCAAAGTGGACTCCATCAGATAACGCTTCAAAGTGCCATTTTGAGTAAGCCCTACTGACAGACTCTGCAAACGAATGGATCCTCGGAGGTCCTTAATGCAGAACGGCTTCCTCTTTGTGCATCGGAGGATCATAATTAAGCTCTCTGTGAATGTAATTTGACACTTTAAAAGCTTGTGCGAGTTTGCCGTTCGATTAAATAGCTGTAAGTAGCGCAGTGTCTTTAAAACAGCCCAGGCTACGAAGTCCATATGCTCGTGATTTGTTGTCGCATAATAATAGAAGTGTTGCTCTATGCGAGTGTGAGAGAGGAGCGTGACCAGAAGGTTATGGGCTCTAAATCCAGATGGCACATTTTCCTGCAGTAGTTCTCAGAATCCACTGAGGTTGCCTTTAATTTAATTTATTTCTGGAATTTTGCTTTTGTTGCCAATAATCCATTGTTGTCTTCCTCTCTTAGGGTTTGTCTGGAGAACCTGGACTGAAAGGACAGGTATAAAACACACACACACACACACACACACACACACACACACACACACACACACATTTGTATTCATATCTTTGTTGTCTCCTAACCCCATCAGTGACCCCCACCCAGCCCTTATCTTACTCCTAACTTAATCATAAATAACCAAACAATTTTTGCCATTTCTATTTTTGATTGCAGTCAGAGATTTTTTATAAAATTTAGGTTATCCTTGTGGGGACCGAAAAAATGTCCCCACAAGATAAAAGTTACAGGTATTTATTACGGTGTGGGGAAATCACGATGTAAAAATTACAATCCCCCCTCCCCCACACTGACACATTTAATTTTACATTATTGTACTTGAAGAGTGACTTCATGTTATACTATATTAAGTCTAGAAAGCTGGGCAAAATTTGAACACTCATAAACAATGCCATCTATTCAGAGCTTACTGTTAAAAGTTTTACTATTAAAAGTTCTGAAGGTTCATTCTACTTTTATGCGAATGGATGACATGAGGTAGAACACCTTCGATTGATGCTCAGCTCCACTACTGAGATGAAATATTTTTAAACAGATAGACACAGACACTGAAATCAGAATTACAAATGAAACCACATAAATGAAGCAGCAAGCTTTTGCACGGCTTGGTAAATCTAAATCCTGCAGTGTCCCAATAAACAGGTTCCCTGTGTTGCGGGGACCACATGCTGAGGAACATCTTCCCCTGCTTCTCCTCACAGCAAGGAGTGAGGGGTGACCCCGGTCACAACGGCCCTACTGGAGACTCTGGCAAGCCTGGAGACAAGGGCCCCCATGGGCTACCAGGGCCCCGGGGCCTCCATGGAGAGCGAGGAGTGCCAGGCATGCCAGGGAGGTCAGGAGTTCCCGTAAGTCGAACCCGCTGCACAGCGTGGCACAGTATAACACAGCAAAGCTCCTGTCAGCTCGTGGAAGTTTGACTTACACAAAAATATTTTGAGGGCAGAAGGAAAAATGATTGGTTCAGAGAGACAACCAATCAGACTGTAGAGGAGGTGGGTTTAAGCAACTCAAGGAGGCGGGACCAAGGCATCTGATTGGTTGGTCCTGCCTTCTCTAGTTGCTTGGACCCACCTCCTCTACAAGCTGATTGGTTATCTCTGATTGGTCCGTCTGTCTAAAAAAGAACATTTTTGTGTAAATAAAACTCCCATGAGTGTGCGTGTCATCGCTACGAAGAACGATACAATACAGCACATTGCAGCGCAGGGTAATGCAACACAGAAAGTATCACTCTGTAGCACAACATGACCCAGTACAGGGCAGGGCTCTGCTGTACGATACAACAAAACACAGTGGGAGCTAATTTTACAAAATGTCCGAGATCAAGAAACAAGACTGAAGGAGGAGATCCAGGGAAACCTCTTCTGACAACAGAACTGCAGCCCAGCGAAAACAACAAAGACATGAATGCAGCGAAATATCGCAACACAACATGATCACACAATATAGTTGAAAGATCATACAGGAGGGGGCTTGAGCTTAGCTTTAGCCTTTATCTCTGCTGCTGGTGCTCCTGTCCACTCTGCCCTGCCTCTGCTGCCCATCCAGGGCCGGGACGCCACAGACCAGCACATCGTTGAGGTCGTGCTGAAGATGCTCCAGGGTGAGTGACTGTTTTACTTTGAGTTTCCTACTCTAACGTCCCGTTTCACTGGGGCTGACCGAAAACCAAAAAGCTGGTATAAATCAAGAGAGCATTTGCCTACCCCCCTGCTGGCCTTTTCCCATGATGCCCGGTTAACCTGATGCCCTTTCGGCTGGCAGAGCGACTGGCAGCGGTGGCTGTCAGTGCCAAGAGGGCAGTTCTCGGTGGAGCGGGTGTCATGGGCCCCCCGGGGCCCCCTGGCCCCCCAGGACCCCCCGGTGCACAGGGACCACACGGACTCACAGGGTCTCGGGGCATCCCTGGAATCCTTGGTGCATCTGGACAGATCGGGAACACTGGCCATAAAGGTACAGATGGGTCGTGTCACTGGGGTACCGAGTCTTTGGCTGTGTCCCGATTCAGGGGCCGCATCTGTCTAAGACAGCATTCGGGGACTAAATGCGTCACAGCGGTGCAACGAGTTCATCCCATTTCGAAGGCTTCTTTAAATTCAGTCTGGGGATGCCTCCTTCCACCCCATGGATCCTTCACAGCCCAACATATCCCAAGATTCATTGCTCAGAGGTAAAGTGGGTGTGTCACGGCTAGGGTGACTCAAGGGTAGGGGCGGGAACAGCTGGTGACGCAAATAGGAAATTCGCAGGCCATACTGTCCCATCTGACAGCGCTTTCTCTTCGACCTTCGACGAACACAGCCTACAAAAGCTATACCTTCATAAACCACGTCCTTCGAAGGACGCAGCCCCTGAATTCGGACACAGCCTTTGTCTATTCATGGTCTTTAAAGAATTCAGGCCAGGGCAGTTTTAACAAAGTGCAGCTCAGCAACTTGCCATGCAAGAGTAAGTGTGAATATAATGTAATTCTGTAATTCTAGAGTGTAAATTCGGCATGAATGTGAAAAAGGTAAAGCGTGGTTCAAACACTGACATTTCAATTCATATAGTCACATGGGAGGGTGAACGTAAACAGTACTATTATAATGTGTTAGAGGTACATGTACAGTAATATAGATAGTATTTAACTCCATTACTGTATGTTTTAACTCTTGAAGCGGTTGGGGGATGGATGGATGCTTTTTAAGAGTGACTTACAAATTACTCTGCATCTGAATTGAGTAGCACATTAATATAGAAAAGTGGGGTGAGCTACTGAGAATATATATCTCACTTTAAAGATGGATGCCGGTCCTGATCCAGTGCACACATGAACACTAATCAGACATTTAGAAATGTACACCTTGGGGTGATCTCCTACTCATCACTGCATCCTCACTTTCTGCTTGCTAAATTCATCATGGCTGCTTCCTCCAGGAAAGCGGGGTCCGAAAGGTGCGCAGGGAGACCCAGGTCGTCCTCACCCCGGCCAGCCCGGACCTCCTGGAATCCCAGGTGAGATCACATCTCCAGCTGGTGTCTGTAGTCTGCATGAGGGACAACTATAAATAGCTTATAAAATCACTGGCATCACAACCCACTCTATGTGTGTATTGTATATAATAATAATAATAATAATAATAATAATAATAACAATAATAGGTTATATTTATATAACACCTTTCACAATCCCAAGGTCGCGTTAAAGAGAGGAAAAAAAAAAACTGACACTATGGAAAACTACAGCACCCAGAAGGCCTTGCTGCTACAACCCTGGGCTGAAATGGCTACTTGAGCTATTTTTGAAGCCCAAAGAATAATGAAAGAGAACTAAAAATGATGACACATCAATAAACTGCAGTGTGAAAAGTTTGATGATTGGGGGGAAGGGGGCTATATTACCTGTCCAGTTTTCCTGAGGCATGGCCCCTGTTTTGCTGGCTGGGCCTGGGCCTCACCTGACCCTGGGTACGACACCGGTGCCTTTAGCTTTGTGCCTTTGCTCCTCCCCACCACAGGTCCCCAGGGTGTTGACGGCGTGGCCCGCGATGGCAGGCCTGGTGAGCGAGGCACCCAGGGCATTGCGGGTGTAGCAGGGCGTCCCGGAAAGGTGGGCCCGCCGGGACTCCCCGGCTTCTGCGAGGCGGCAGCTTGCCTTGCGGCCTCAGCCTACACCTCCCCGCGTCTCCAGGAGGCGGGCACTATCAAGGGGCCCTCAAAATAAGCCCTCAGTGTTGGTGAGTCAGAGAATGAGAGAGACCTAGAGAGACTGGTGCACACACACGCCTTCCCTTCTGTCGGCCATCATGGAGCGGTGGGAGGGGTCGTTCCTTTGTGATTGATGTTACACCCTCCAGTCTGAGTGGACGGCTACTTCCATTCGAAACCATCTAGTCTGTGATTGGACAGTCTGCACCTTTAGTCACTTCGGAACCACCAATCTCCCTGCTGCCACCTATGCCCCTCCCCCTCTCCAGACACAGGAACATCCCCATTAACGTCCTTGACATTGCTGTGAACAGCCCTGGACTGACAGAAGAGAGATTAAAGGTGCTACACATGTTTTTTTGCATCTTCTGTTTCTCCCACATCCTGGTAGCATTAGATTCATCCAATCCATTTAAAAGCACAAACATAAACATATTCCACATAAAAAAATGAACGTGTATGAAACAAAAATAACCAATAAAATGTTGTAGTTAGTACATTATATGTATTGTTAATTACCTCATGTGACAGCTTAATTTCAATGGTTTTCCTGTCTGTGCGGTTCAAAATCTCACTTCATTCAAGCAGTCTCCACACAAACCTTTACCGCTTCCTTTAACTGTCCAGCAGTGGTGGAAATTTCAGGTCCGGAAAGTACAAATCCAGGCCAAGATATTGTTCCAACTAACCAGTTGACTATTAAGAGTCACAGTCATAGAGTAACTTTTTTGCGTGGTTGGAACAAAATCATGGTCTGTATTATTACTTTCTGGACCTGAGATTTCAAGTTCTGCTGTCCAGACAACTCAATTCCCACGATTCCATGCTGTAAATCTTTGTAAATGTGTGTTTTCATTATAATAGGATGTTATAAGATCTAGTGTTTCATCCTTCATACCATCAACGTGTATGATTGAAAATAAGAAGGGAATCTGGTTATTTTCATTAACAGAAATCTATTTATTGTTTTGTTGGTTCAACTGTAAAGACTTATAGTATTTTGTCCTGGTTGTTTCATGGAGCCAGAATCAATAAAGAGGAACCTTTTATAAAAGTGAACGCTCTTCTCTATCGCCTGCGAATCAGAAATTGAATTGTCTCGTTTTGAATCTGTGGCTTGAACTGATTTTCTCCTCTTACCTTCCTCCCATCTTGTCTGTGCAATAAAGTGCTCTTTGCACCTCCATAGTTGTTCACCGCTGGTGTGATGTTTCTAACCACCGCAAACCAATTTCACAGAGATTACTTCTGTGCTGAGGGACTTCAGAAAAGACCTACTAGCAGCAACATACATCCAGAGGACCTGGGTGGTATAAAAAAGACCGGCTCTTCGTTCTGTGGACATCTAGTCATGGAGGACTTTACTGGCAGGAGATGCTGTTCTTAGTAATTGGCAAAGCCTGTCACTCACTGAGCTGCAGATGTCTGACGTCCCATATTAAACCAGTCACATCAGCTAAAATCCAGAGAAGAGAAACCTGATCCTCCATACCGACACAGCAGGCCAAGCAGAGGTAGCTTCAGCGCTACGAAAATGCTGTCTGTGTGGCCGAGGTTTGACTCGTCAAAAAGCAGCGCCGCGTGCCGCGCTTGCCAATTTCTTTTACAATCGATCAAGGCAGACTTATAAAATCACGGCTGGGAAATAAAGTGGAAAGTCTGTAAAAGTGTTCAATGTCGTTACTCAGCAGAAACGGAGTAACCTTACGCAGTGCCCAGAAACACGTTTTATTCCTTGGTACATATCTAAGTGTGGGTGTCTGAGCCGGTGTTTGGGACAACAGCCGCTTTTACTACACAGACGCAAGGGGGAGAGGCAGTTACTGTGGTTGCTATGGAAATGGCCAGGTTTACTCATGGCTCTTACTGAGAGAATATGTTCTTCAGAATAATGTGTCGTCCGTCAGTCACTTCAGGGACATCTGGGATAAAGGCAACCTGGTCATCATCCTATCAGCGACGAGCATGTCTATGACACTCCTTACGTTCCCCGGCTGAAGCTGGCAGCATATCGGCTAACTTCCAAACTACCTGGCCAGAGGCGCCATGATTAAAGACCTGCTGGTAAGTAAACAGTCTAAATCCCAGCAGTGGCGAAAACGTTTCTGTTCCTTTAAGCAGGAAACGTATTGCAAATTACATCTGTAAACATCCAGTTGCAGATGAGATTAAGTACAAAACAACAAAGATTAAAGAAAGATTTACACTACAAAAGCATATATTAAATTAATAATACTAACAATATGTAGACAATACTGCTTAAAAAAACATTTATTTGCGTTTGTAGTTTTCATAAAAAAGAAAACAATGACTTGTAATGCATACAGACAAAGGACGTAGAAGGGGTTAACACACGGTGTTGTGTTGGCTACATGGTTTCCAGGAGCCGGTGATGGATTGGCAGCACCAAAGCTTGGCTTGCAGTTAGTGGTTCTCCGATGGAGTCTTATAGCCCAAGACTCCAGAGACAGAAACTCATTTTGGCAAAATATGGCGAGCAGGTAAGTCCAGGTTACCTTGAGTTATGGGAGTCAAGAAGAGAGCTGACAGGTAAGATGGGTGACATAGATACAATCAGCCAGCAGGCAAAGGAACACCAACAACGCTGAATGAAAGAGCGCTCTGTGAGCTCGATAAAGGTGGAACACGCAGAGATCACCGATCAGCGGAAGTCAGATGAAAACACACATTCTCCACACTGAATTCAGAGAAAGGGTGGTGCCGGACAAACACGGAATTTCAAGTTCAAAAATAATAGTGACACTCTGGAATAATGTACAAATCAGAGTACATAGCTTTGTAAGAGTAACCCATCACTAATGAAGAATATGACCAACTGAGTTCAAGTCTAACCGTCACAAACGCGAGCTTCACACGGAGACCCCGTTTAGAAACTGAGCACTTGTTTAGAAAATGTACTGTACCTACAATGAAAAAATGCTCTCTGACAACAAAGATATATAGACCATAAGCACTCATAAACAAATCTTGTAAAAAAACATTCTCACCTAGGCCAATTTGTTAGGATAACCCAAAAAGAGAAGAAATATGAGGAGCTCCGTGCTGCTTCAGATTTATCACTCATCAAAAACAGAGCTGTATAAACAAAATTATGTACAACACAGCTCTCCAAAAATAAACAAGAGGGTTTAAACTGGGGCCTAACTTTCTGCTACATTTCTTAAATCCTGGAACTGGAAGAAAATGCTTAGATGTATTCCACTCATGCTTGTATGCTAATTCCTGTAAGCTTTGAGGATCAGAGCCATTATCGCTCTAAAAAAATTTAAGTGAAGTTTTGTTTAACTGAAAACAGCAAACACACAAGCTGCCACTTGCCAACAAAACCCTCTGGACAGTCAACTGCTGTTGACTGAAGATGGGGAATGATTCCCACTGTCCGATGTGCTCGGCGTCTCCCTGCCCAGAACAATGGGTTCCAGAAATGAAAATTTCAGTAAATATTTGTAAACAAAGACTGTCATTGATCATACAACAGAACTGAAATGTTCTGGGGTGAAAATGTGAAATGTGGCCACCGGACACTGACTGCTCTTGACTTAGGATCAGCTCGCCATTCTTCTTAACACAATGCTGGCCAACTATCAAAGTGATCTTAAAGATTTCCCCTTGTTGTCCTGCAAGAAGCCGAGTCTCAGGCGTTTCCCAGATAGGTGCAATGGAAGGTTCCAGACAGGATACTTTGGGAGCTTCCAGGATTTAACATGTGTGAAATTCCATCCAGGTCGGAGGATGGGTGTGTTCTCAAGAGGCAAGGCTGTGTTGGAAGGGTTGGTGTTCCAGTTTCAGCTAATTGATGGGGGCATTGGATATAGTTTAGGGAATCGATTTGAAAAGATGAAGAAATTCCCAGGGTGCTCGCAGCCATGCAAATCCAATTGTGCTGGAATAGTCCTGGTTCATTCACTCCCCACCCCCCCTAGTACATAGGGCCCTTTCTGGGGGGACCCTTGGGACTGTAATCTACAGGCATGGCGCTGAAGCAGTCCGTAGGGTTACACCGACCCTCCTTGCCTGGATTCCCTGGGGTTCCAGGGGAACCTGGAATGCCGGGAATACCCTGCTGTCCCACTGGACCTGGAGGTCCCATTTTTCCATAACCGGGTGAACCTGGAACACCTGGAACAGTGGGGGAAGTGAGAGGGGGAAACAGGCAGCAGAGAGTTAATGAGAAGCTAAACATTACTCACTGGCAACCTACAGTCCTTAAAGATGAATATCCTTTGTTCCTCAGCACCACACGTGTCTTACCTGGAGCTCCAGGAGAGCCCGTGTCTCCCATCTCCCCAACACCTTTGTCCCCCTTTTCTCCCTTAACCCCTGGAGCACCTGTATAGAGACCCCCCCCCCCCAAAGTGTTACCATACAATTATGGGACAACAGAACCTCATCCTAGAAGAACTATGATGCAAGGAAGCTAAATTGTCCACAGCTGAGAAACTGCAGTGTAATTTCAGGAAATATCTGTGCTCCTCCAATAAGACGTCAAGTTAGAAAAATGAGTAACTTCTGACATTTTTGAAAAACATGTTGCCTTAGTAATAATAATAATAATGATGATGATGATGATGATGATGATGATGATGATGATGATGGTGATGGACAGGTTGAAGCAGGATGGCGGTGCCTGCCATTAGAGGTGCTTTCTGGCTCAGCTTCCTCACCTGGGGGTCCCAAGGGTCCCTGGCGTCCCTCGCGGCCGATCTGCCCTGGCAGCCCCGGAATCCCCTGGGACCCCGGCCTGCCAGGTGTGCCATCCTTCCCTGGAGGGCCAGGCCGACCGGGGGCCGACACCATCTCCACGGGCATCTGCATGCGGGACATGTAGTAGGCCATGCGCTCTGCGGAGACACAGAGACAGACGGCGGTCAAGCGCGCCGCTCACATCAGGGCCCCGCACTGGACCTGAAGGGACCGTATGGTTTGGTAGAACACCTTCTACAGCACACTACCAGGGAACGGCACTGTCCTGAGCTGCTGTTCTAGACCTCTTGTCAATATCCAGGCACATAAAAAGTATGTATCTGTCCATACAGTAAGTCATCAAACAAACTCACCATCAAATATCTTAATCACTTGTTGACGGATGAAGTTCTTGATCTCATCATAGTTGACCACCGCCTACAGAAGAACAGAATGCTGTTAAACCTGGCATCTTTCTGGTTTCTTGCATCATAATCCCCCTAAAATAAATGGTCTCATTTTTAAACATGCTGTCAAGATTAGCATAATGTCCTTGGCGTGTTTATGGTCACTTTAAAAACAAGCCAGCATTCAAAAACACAGGAGCAGCATTTCAGTATTGGCCACTCACGTCGGTTCCAGGTAAACCCGGAGGCCCAGGGGATCCGGCTTGTCCCGGCTGCCCATTGCCACCCCTCTCCCCTCGAGGTCCTGCTGGCCCTATCATGCCCATGCTGGAATCTTTGGAGGAGAATCCACCCCCAGGCGGACCGGGACGACCACGTTCCCCGGGAGAGCCTCGTTGTCCGGGGACCCCCGCCTCGCCCTACAGGAGACGCATGCAGAGGTGCTGACAGCTTCCACCACAAGCCAGCTGATGTTCTTTTTTAAAGGTCTAAAAACAGCATTGATACATTCTGCTATCATGTCACAGGGCAGCGGATGCACTGTGACAGAAGGCAGTGCTATTCCAACAATAGACCGAGCAGCAGTTAATTCCTATGTCGAGAGGTTATGTAAGCTGAATACAACTGAACAGGCTAGTATGTAACATGCCATTTGACGAATATGAGACCCGCCTCCCGTGACAACCAGCCGTCCCATGACTGAGAGTCTGCCCGTCTGGTGGACTCTTACCTTCTGACCTGGGTGGCCGTTTTCCCCCGGTTGACCGGCTGCTCCCTAAAGCGAGAAGACACCCAAGTAAATTCACCAACAGGAAATTCACCAGAACGAGTCTGACAGGCGTTTTTGCTCATTCTGCGTTGACCCCATTTTGGAATCCCACTTAACCTAGCACCCAAAAATAACAGCGACCGAACAAGCGGGCCGAACACTCACATCCTTCCCTGAAGAACCATCAGTTCCTGGCTCTCCCTAGGGACACAGTTGGAAAAAAAAACCCAGTCACTTCCTTCCTTATGGACGGCAGATACTGTATGCATCTGTTCATCAGCTGTCCGCATGCTGATGCAGCAACATCCATGCTTAAAGCCTGAACACAGAACTAACACGAAGCAGAACACAGTTCTCCTGTCCCATATGGTCCAGGAATCTTCTACAATCCAGACGCATATGGCTGTTAGACATCTAAGCACACATGATGCAGTGGATTACGCTGATGGATTCCAGTACTGACCAGTAGACCTGGATGTCCTGGCGCCCCAGGTGGGCCGACCATGCCAGGAAGGCCTCTCTCCCCGGCTTGGCCTTTGTCACCTTTTGTCCCCTGTGTGCAGATGCACATACAGTCAGGCACGGAATGAAGCAACTAATAGGATGACAGAGTGATGGCAGAGATGGCCAATTACCAGCCCAGGGGGCCCTGAAGGACCGGAGGGGCCAATGGATCCTGGAAGTCCCTGAAAAGGCAGACAAAACTCTTCTTGAAGCCACACACACTAGAAGTCCCTGTTTTCTAAACAGGATTTTTAATTGAGTACAAACATTTGCAGTAGAAGGACATTAGTGTTTCTGGATAGCGCTGATTTTACTGTCATTTAATAGGTTGCTCCCACATTACCAGCGTGATGACTGATCCAACCGAGTTCTTAAGTGTTTCAGTGCCAAAGTCCACGAAATATGCAAATACAGAGCAACGTTTTTTTTTCTCTTTTCTTAGAAGAGTCAGAGAAAATCACCGGACCCGGATGCCAAATTAGCTACTCACGATGTGTCCAGCAGGTCCTGCGGGGCCCGGTGAACCAGGATTTCCAGGTTCCCCCTGAAGAGCAAAGATGCAAAGTGAGACCAGATTTGCTGTCTCTCTGACAGCTCGGCTTAAGGTGACGTCAGACGCCCACGGCTCACCTCCGGGCCAGGTCGTCCTGCGGCTCCTGGGGGCCCCTGAGGGCCGATATCTCCCTATTTCAGGGGACGGGGACGGGGGGGGGACAAATAAAAGAAGAGCCGCACGGGCCTCTGTTAACACCTCCGACAAAGCCGGGAGCTGACACGCGCTACTGAATCGGATCTTTTTCCGCGGGAATGACATGATATTAAGTTCGGCCCATAATGGCACCACTAATCTATGGCCATGGCTGACCTTCATTCCTGGGAAACCAACGTGTCCCGTTTTCCCCTTGAATCCCTACGGATGAAGAAACATTATGAAAAACATTACTATCGGCTATATGCTAATTAAGGCACCTGCATGGAAATGTGAACAATTGTGAGCGGTAACAAAAAAACGAACAAGGACGGTGAAGAGCTCCACGTACCGGTAGCCCTCTTGGTCCCATTGGGCCGGCCGGTCCTGGGTCTCCCTGCCAGAGAAGACAGCTTTGAGGGGAAGCACAGAACCAGAAGCAAGCGGACTCTGTGACAGCGATCCGCCGTGGTACACAAATATTTAAAGGTTACTGTAATCGCCCAGAAGAGCACAGAGCAGAAAGATGGGACTTCAAAGGCTAAAATGGCACGAAACCCTGGATGTCCTTTTGGAATGCAAAGACGTACACATTAATCTTCGGAAGAGGCTATTAAATGCTGATACTTGTTTGCATATGGGAAATCTACCCGCTGGTAAAATCGTGCCGACACGAATGATTCCAGGGGCGTTATCTCGTTTGCACTAGAAGGAAGCTTATCCTGCCCCCAGTGCCGCTTCCCTTTATATATAATAACATTTTCTTTGCTCTTATCTAAAGTGTTCCTTAACTAGTTTCCATTTGTGCTGTTTGTGAATTTGCATTAAAGTACACATTAAAACCTTATAGAAATCTTTGGCCGCACTGCACCCACTTCCCCTCGAGGTTCTGTACTCCTGTTCCACCCCCAGTTACTGAAGATTACAGAGATAAAGTCATTCCGACCCGATCTTTTAAGGTAACCCTTTAATCCGTGAAGTATTTGTGTCATCCTCACTAAACTCTCCCCAGCAGTTATGTCGTTCTTAAAGTGAGGTCACCGTCCCTAAAGGGAATTCTCTGCGAGAGCAGCCACTATATGACATCTAGGGGCACAGCTAGATTCTGGCCCCCCTGACAAAATGTTACCTTGGGCCCCTCCGCCCCTAATTTCAAGGATAATTCTGCATGTTTTAGGGCCCCAGAAAAGGTGCAGGACCCCCTGAGTCTGCCAGAGTGTGCAACTGCTCCAATGATGACATCCTCTAACTTAAATTCTACACACACAGACCTTCTCAACAGTATCCCGATTGCCTGCGTCTTCCTAAAGGCCTAAATCGTCCTCAAAGGCGTAAAGAAGCATCAGCCTCATCTACCTGCAGCTGCTCTACATTATCTGTAGGGTATGTTCATGCTTCCACATTAATTTATCCTAAAGATTTATTCTTCAAGAATCCTCACTGCCACGCAGTCAGGTGGGTTTGCTGTTGAATCACCTGCTAAATATTGCCCCCCCCCCTCAGTTCTGCTGCTATTTTCCCTGATGCCTTTATCCAGAGATGGAAAGTTCAGGTCCGGAGAGTTCAAATCCAGACCAAGGTTTTGCTTCAACCAACCAGCTGCGCATTAAAAGTCACAGTTACAGAGTACTCAGCTGGTTGGTTGAAACAAAACCTTGGTCTGGATTTTTACTTTCTAGATCTGAACTTTCCACCTCTGCCAATATCCCCTGATTCTGAATCACATTAGTAATGATACAGTCATTGGAATAATGGATCAATAGCAAACCATGAAATAGCAGAAGCCCCTTCTTACCCGCAGACCAGGCTTCCCAGTCTTCCCATCCATGCCTTCCATTCCTGGAGGCCCCTGTCATCACACACAAACACAAAGGCATGGAGGATCTTAAAAAATCCCATAATAAAACCCCTCTAGCCATCCAGATCATCACAAAGCTGTTCTGGGGCACACACCTGCATTCCGGGGGGCCCGGGGGCCCCAGGAGCGCCTGGGGGCCCGTGAGAGCCCCGGGGACCTTCACTACCCTGACGAAGATAGAGGCGAATATAAGGCAGGTTAGAAGCACCTCCGGGTCAATGGGGTTCTTGTTAATGCAATGACATATGTAACAGAACAGAGTGAGGTATCACCATGGGAACCAAAACATTAATTAAGCACTCCTAGGGACATTTTCCAGATGCATCTGCTGTTGGGGAAAATTGAAAAGGCTGAACGTGAACCTTTTCAGCCGGTGCTCCTGGGGATCCGGGGGCACCAGCTTTGCCGGGGAATCCTGGGGGCCCCTATGATCCAGAGACACGCTCTTAGCAATATGAGCTGAAAGAGGCGCTATATGATGTCAGCGGCAGCACCATATGATGTCACTCACCTGCTGTCCTGGGAATCCAGGTGGTCCTGGGAAACCCTGAATATAGTGGGATATAAAAAGTGAAAAAAATGCATGTTTTCATTTTCAATTATGGTCTCTAATTCAGCTTCTACTTCTTGATTAAAAATACACCTTTTCAAGTGACATCACGATAGACATTCACATTAATGTACACTTTACTATGCTGCTTTAGAAGTGAAATGTAAGATTATATCTGCAGTATACTTTGGTTTGGGCTAGGACAATTACACTCTACCTTAATTACCCAGAACTAGGACAATTACACTCATACGTCAATTAGCCATGAAATGTAAGATTATATCTGCAGTATACTTTGGTTTGGGCTAGGACAATTACATGATACGTCAATTACCCAGAACTAGGACAATTACACTCATACGTCAATTACCCAGAACTAGGACAATTACACTCATATGTCCATTACCCAGAACTAGGACAATTACACTCATATGTCAATTACCCAGGGCTAAGAAAATTACACTCTTACCTCAATTACCCAGGGCTAGGACAATTACGCTCAAATCTAATTACTCAGGACTAGGACAATTACACTTTTACCTCAATGACCCAGGGCTAGGAAAATTACAGTTTTACCTCAATTACCCAGGGCTAGGACAATTACACTCTTACCTGATCTCCCTTCTGTCCAGGGGTCCCTGCCACTCCCATCTCTCCTTTAGGTCCCTATATGGTACAAGACATGGACAGGGTTTTCTGTCTTACTATAAAGAGCATCAGGTTACAGCAGCATAACAAACTAGTGACATTTAGGTAAGAGAAGAGCGTGTACGGGATTTCCCACTCACTGTCGTTCCTGGAGGTCCTTGCAGCCCTGCCATCCCTGGAGGTCCCTGCCAAGACAAAGCCTTTGAGTTGGGAAGGCACGTTGTGCGGGCGAGTCACCGACATGCCACAGTCTCTGAACTGCTAGCCAACCAGCGAGACTCCTCCCAGCAGGGCTGCAGGACTGAGGTAATGTCCAGTAGCTATTCTGCTCACCGCTGCTGCACAGACGGCAGTGCACCATCTCTGAGGCATTATAACGTCAATCTGTTTGTGAAATTCCCTCACTAACAAGTCAAGGAAGGAGAAACACATTTAAATGCTAAAATCCACCAGTTAATGCTGATCAAGGGTCTCACAGGCACCTAGGGCAAGTAGGTCTACTGCGCAGGCACCATCTGGCACAAACTGAAATTGGCTCGCTAAGTTGGCCCCCCCTCAGAAGATGGCGCCCTAGGCGACCGCCTATGCCACTGAATAGGTTCACCAGCACTGGCCTAGATGGGATACCAGTCCATGAGAATCAAAATGTGTGCTTTTAAAATACAAAACTAGTCACCTGAAGGGAAAAAAAAGGTAGTGATGGCCAAATGAAGCTTTGTGACTCATTTTCTGTATTTTCTAACCCCACTAGATGGCGCTTTCTGTTCATAAAAGGGCTCGACGCATGCCCCAAAGCAAGCCAAGAGCACCATCTAGTGGGGTCAAAAAATACAGCAAATGGTTCATGAAGCTTCATTTGGCTCAAGCTGAAATATCAGGTAATGAGAATGTGCTGCAATGGAACACTTACCGATTCTCCTTTCTGTCCTACTGCACCTGATTGGCCCCGCTCTCCTTTCAGGCCCTGGGTGAGGGAGTGGCTAGTCATTCAAGATTCAAAACTTTATTGTCACTGTGCACGACAGCCCAATGAGACTGGGTTAGCAACTCACTGAGACATCAATACGTAATATGTACCACACACAAGTAGGGCGGGGTCTTACCGGGAGGCCAGGGGATCCCATGGATCCCGGATAGCCAGGTGTTCCCGGAGGACCCTGGCAAAAGGTGAGATGAACGATGGGACACAAGGCACAAGATTACAGTTTACTATGAATATGCGCCTTTGAAAATGTCCACAACAGAAATTATGTGAACCTAAACAGTCATTGCGCAGGTAGCGACCGTCCATATTCAGGCAGCAACAATTTCGTAATGGGCTGCGATGCCGGGCCATCTAATTAACGTAATAGTGTATTTGGTGATTGCCCTTGAATGAGTAGCTGGTTACTGCGGAGATGGAAATGTAATAAAAGAAAATTAAAAAACCCACGTGAATTAACAATTCAATTTACTAATTCAAAGGTGAATAAAGTATGACGGATCACCCCAGGGGAAGCATAAATAAATGTTAAAATAATCAGTTAATATGCTCACACTTCTCACATTGCATACTAGCATCTGCTGCTGTGACATGGTACAGCAAGTTACCCTAAAGAAAGTTCCATGAATATCACTCACAATAGCTTTACAGAAGTACTAACTTTTCTGAGTACTTTTACATTGATTTAACAGACACTTTTATCCGAAGCGACATACATGTTGAGATAACATGTAATTTACTGAACCAAACTATGAACTATGATATATAGAAACTCCAAGGGATTTGAACTGGTGACCTTCTGATCACAAGCACGGTGTCCTAACACACAGAGTCACACACCACCCTGAGGTGCTGAGGCACTGACCTGTTCACCCTTCAGGCCGACAAATCCAGGGAGTCCCCTCTCTCCCTGCTGACCCTGGATTGGGGGTGGGTGGGGTGGGGTGGGGCAGAAAAGCGATGGAGTCATGCAGTTTGTTCCTTTAGTCATTTACATTGTTATCTTTTGCATAACTTTCATCACCCTACTGGTGATATCATCACTATGCCGACCCTGGGGTTTGAACTGGCAAAGCGCTGATCACAGGTATGGTGTCATAACCCACTGAGCCACACACTGCTCCCCAGGTAAGACAAGGGGGGGTAACAGAATGCAATTGCTGTATTACATTTATGTAGCAGATGCTTTTAGGTGAAGCGATGGACATTTTTTGAGAAAGCAGAGTCAGCCAGTCCCTGAAGCAAGTGGGGGGTTAGGGCTCAGTGGTGACATCACTCTGCTGACTCTGGGATTTGAACCGGCAGCCTTCTGGTCACAGTCATAAATGTTGCTCCTGCCGTGGGCCCCGAGCTCCAATAGGACCACGGCACCTCGGCTCCCATTGGCCTCTCTGTGTGCCCCCCAGCTGTGTAATGAACCACGGCCCCCCTTCTAATCTTTCATCCACGTTAGTGATCCATTCTCCATGATACTGACGTTTCCTCTGGGCTAATTCCCCCAGCGAGAAGCAGTAATCAGCTAAATTATTTATTTCAGGGCTCCTTGTCTATACTCAGAGTAAATAAAGTAACACCATACAGATATCACCTTTACTGTCTGGGGACAGGCACACTGAAACTCACTTTTCAATGTAATTCATAAAAATGGGCGACACCGCAGCTCAATATAACTGGCGGAGCAACAGCAGGGTCTCCCAGAAGAAATCTGATAAGGTTTTCAAATATTACTTTTTTAGAAAAATGTGTGTGTTTATGAGCTACGTTTCTTAAATCAATGCATCTACCTCTCAGTGGTATCCAAACTGATAGGCTAATGAAAGCTTTGGTACGAAGGCCAGCAGATATTCATTGCTGAAGGAATGAAAGAGAACTTCGTCACACCGAACGATAACTCTGGAAAAATTTGTTAGTTCAGTTCCCTCAGCAAAGATATGGGTGCACAAAACAAACAGGCACACTGTCCCTTGTAGAGCTGGTACAGGAACAGGTACTGCCTTGAGATGAGGACGTAGGGCGTTGCCGTGAGCGATGGAGATCACATGACAGAGGACAGCGGGACGTTTTATTGTCATTCATTGGAATACACAGATAGGTGCTTAAAAACCATGACTAAAATATTCATGATTCCCTAATCTCATTTTCATGCTTTAAAGGCCAGCGACAGGCTAACATCTTTTGAGAAAACCACTCATATTGTCTTTTGCTCTTCGTTGTACACCCAGCATCAATTCTCTCGTTCTATAATCATTGGAGGGAAGAAAGCTTCTCAAAGCCTGTATATCTGGGTAATTACAAGATCCATGTCAGACTGCAGCTCAGAGGAGCTTGTTCACCTAACCATCGAGAGACGCTATTAAGCTGGAACACAATAGGAAAGAAACTAAGCTGAATATCCTAATAGATTGTGCCGCAAGCTTCAGAAGAGAGAGAAAGATGGTGCGCATCAGGGATAAATTGAGCCGTATTCAAAACAGCTCATCTCAAACTCATGGGAAGTTATTATCAGTCCAGAATGAGGACATATACCAAGGAAGGTGGAGCCGTGACACCGTGCTACATTCAGTGTCCTCTGCTGGTAGGGGGGGGGCACCAAAAATGCAAAGCTTCTGCTTTGCTGAAGAAGATGGCTGGACGAGTTTTGGGTGCGTTTCCGTTTTGGATGTGTTTGTGTATTTGAAGCGTAAACATTATTAACTTAGGCTAGCAGACCAAGTGTTTTCATCTTCGACAGCAGGATAGAAAGACAGTCAGAAGCTGTTTCATGGAAGCCTGCTGTCTATTTACTTTAGAGAAGCTGCCTGACAGGTTGAATCCTATAGCTGAGTGAATCGGGGGAAACTTACAGATAATCCAGAGGGGCCTGGAGGGCCAGGGAACCCGGGGGGACCCTATGAGAACAGACAGGTAGTTAGTGGGATGGATCCGGATGTCTGAAGGTGAAAAGGTGCCATTCTTTATCCACTGTCAAAACAGAGGAAGCAAAGCAATACAAATTCCTACCAAAGTAAACAAACTAAAAATACTGCAAGGCAACACGCAGATCACCCCAAACCATTAAATCAGCCTCCTTGCTAAACCAACAGCACTGCTATACAAAATTACCAATGTGCTAATGACGTGAGGCACAGTGTAGTTCTGAGTCCTTACGGAAGGGGGCTCCATGACTTCAGCAAACCATTACTTTTTAATGCATTTTCCTGTTAATGAAAACACCTAAACACTAAGCTTAAATACACCAGACAACCTGAAGCAAAAAAATAAGTCAGGTGGAGCAGCTGATAATACAAATAAGCGTTACACTCCATCTCATCTCATATTGTCAGTAAAAAGATGCCAAAATGATACAATCACCATTAGAATGACAACTACTCCACTGCAGTAAAACCTGACTGATCAACAGCACTGCATTCTATTAATGATATTCTGTGGGGACTTACCATGTTCCCGGGGGACCCAGGAAAACCCCTTTGACCCTGAGGACCCTACAGGTGAAAAGAACATTTCCTGTCAGAGTGACATCGCCTACAGTATTTCAGCCAATCACAGCTTGCTACTTCAAACCGGTTCTGTACTATGGGCTGGAAAGACCATGTATGGAGCAGGGCGCCTAAACACAAATAATCCCACAGGAGCCATGAAGAAGGAGTGCAGAGGGAAAAATCTGAGGACTCCTGGATTAATGTGCCCTATACATTCATGCCAATGATGTGTGTTGAGTTGGTGAGTGATAGGGACTGGGTCCAATCAGCCTTCAGCTTGGCCCATGCTCCTGCCCTTATTTACACCCCTGTATATGCCCTTAACCATCTTCTTTGGTCTCACCGGTTCTCCTTTCAGGCCTGGCTGTCCTGGGATGCCCGGCGTGCCAGGAACTCCTGCACAGCCTGGTCCGCCGTTGTTACCCTGAAGAAAAGAAATACGAGCCCCCTTGAGAAGGACTCTGTGTAACCCAGAATGCTGGGCAGATACAAAAAGCTATTCCAGCATCAACAGAACAATCAATGGATGCATTTATAGATACATCCAGGCAATAGGCTGATCCGTTCCAGAAGCTCTCGAACCACCGCCCTGCCAGCACTCAGAACCAAGGACAGATGTAAGAATGAGTCCAGCACAATACGGCAGCCATCTCAAACAGAAGGCTTAAGCAGCCAAACAAAGCAAGCTCACTGTCCCTTAATTAAATCATTGCCAAGAGGAAGAACCCAATGTCCCAGAGGAATTCGAACAAGCAGACTCACAGGAAATGTGGATTGTTCTCTCTGTAGTCTTTCAAAACACTGCAAAATAAATATATACATAAATAAATTAAGGCTGTCAAGTCATAACTTGTTACTATTTCTTTGATTGTATTCATTTTGATATGCTGATAGAAAAACAGTATGACCAACGTTTTTTTTTTTATTTTTTTTTTATAGGGACCTATAGTATTCTGTCCTGTTTGTAAACAACGCGGGAGCTGTGGTCGTGACATTGCACCGAATCCCAGAATTCACAGCTACTATCAACAACACAGTCTCATGGGGAAGCTGATTGAGGGGAACGGTGAGGAAACATTGTTACTGGGTTCATTTCACTTAAAAAAATTGCCAGATGGCTCAGAGGATAAAAAAATTGTAATTTGCCATATTTGTTTTATTTTATCGAAGGCTAATACATTATAATGAGGATCAATCCAGTCAATGGTTGTCAGGCTTCTGTTTTTAGAGCCATTTGCCAAATAGGTTTTTGATCTAGATTTTTTATTTCTTCCTCCTAATCATTCACCTTCTGTTTTGAAAGCAATGTCATAAATTGAGAAAAAAAAAGTCGATTGAGTCGATTTCTTGAAATGCTTTTAAGCTGCTTTACTTGGCCCATGCAACACTGATAAAGGCATAATTAATTTTTGTCTTTATTTTAAGACCCCTGTTTGGAATAAATGAATGTTATATACTTAATAGCCTGTAAAATCCTTTTTTGGATAGTCTTGCAACATGTCCGATTAATCATCAAGGTTGGCAATTAATCGAGAGATTAATCGCCAGTGGGCACAATTAATCACAATTTTAAGAACTGAATCACTTGACAGCCCTAGAATAAACAAGATTGAACAAACAGTCACTCCATAGGCACTGAGAGGGAAGTGGCACAACAGTCTCAGTGGCAGAGCATCTGCACCATGTGGGCAGCCCCCCAGGGCAGCCCTCACACCTCCCCCCATACCTTACATTCTGGCTATTTTTATATAGGGCTTTTCACAACAGAGCTTCTCCGAGGCACTTGACAAGGGTGTGTCAAGATCCATCATTACATCATGTATACAGATGGAAAGAATGAAAGCCAGAAGGCAATGGAGAGGAACCAAAAACTCTAACAGAGAAGAGAAGAATCTCTTTGCCAGTTTCATCCCCATCCAAATCCTGCCACAGTGCACCCCCCACCCCATCCTGATGATCAACATTCTCCTTTAACCTTCTCCGTAATCTGAACCCCCACCTCGGCCCCGTCAACTCCCACGCTTCTCCCTCACCCATTCACAGCCGTCTGATGGCCCGGGCCTGCTCTGCTCTCCCTTCTCCCCCTTCATGCTCCCCATGCCGGGGACCCCTGGGAGTCCCTGGGAACAGTCTTTGCAGGGCTCCTGGATGACAGACAAGCAAAAGACAGAACTACACAGTCAGTGTTGGAAGGGTGTAATCAGGAAAACAAAGAAACACAAACCAGCCGGCAGACACACAAACAAACACAAACCAGTCAACAGACACACAAACAAACCAACAGGCACACAAACAAACACAAACCTAACAACAGACACATAAACATGAACCAACCGAAGGACACACAAACAAACACAAACCGGTCAACAGGCACACAAACAAATATGAACTAACCAACAAGCACACAAACAAACAGAAACTAGCCAACAGGCACATAAACACAATCCGGTCAACAGGCACACAAACAAACAAACAGAAACTAATCAACAAGCACACAAACAAACACAAAGCAGCCATGCATATGCAGGACGTAGGATTCCAGCTGGCGTTGCCACTACAGCCTTCACATTGTTTTTCAGTCTTCAACAAGAGCCGTGGATACTTAATTAAAGCCCTCCTTAATTAAACCGGGGAAGTCTGTAGGCACGCTGTAATTTTTATCTCAAACTCACTTTTCCCTAGAAGTGCAAGTTGGCTAAGAATGCATTAGGAGAAACAGATTAACGCAGTTTAGCTGGAGATCGAATCGTGGTGTGCCGCCCGAGCGAACCGCTCCGTTACAGCCTCGTCTCGATCGGCGGGCTTTAACAGGTCCATTTGTTTTTGGACGGCTGGCTTCAGGCTAACATGGAGATGAAGAAGAGATGCTGGAATCGGTAAAATCTGTGTGCCGTGAGGCATAACACTGTAAATAAACATTCAGCATTTACAGCATGTGACATTCAGCATGTGACACAAAAAAAAGAGATAAATCTCTGTCTCTCTCTCTCTCTCTCTCTCTCTCACACACACACACACACGCACAAATGCATAAAATCGCAAGCTTGTAAACGAGTAATGCAATGATTCTGGACTGATTACCTGGGTGGAACTGCTGGAGTCCTGTAGGATTTGCACTGGAAGCTACAGGAAAGACATCGTCAATGTGGCATTTGGAGGGAACACACAGGGTCATATCAGTTCTTCCTAAACCAGGACAATGACGTGGGCAGCAACAATAAACAAACAGTCCACAAATAATTCACCTTTGTACATCACAGTATAGCATACTCTTCCTATAAACACACATGTACAGCATACTGCTCTGTGTGGCTTGAACGGTCATTGAGGCTCTACTCCCCTCAAATAGTGGGAAGCTGGGTTGGGTTCTTCATATGGTCATCTTCTCATGGGGACTCTGTATAGCCAATACAATGTTATGCCAACCAATGTTCATCAACCCAGGCCTTGGGGACCCTCCAGACAGTCCACATTTTTGCTCCCTGGCAGGGAGCTGGGAGGGAGCAAAAATGTGGACTCTCTGGGGGTCTCCAAGGACTGGTTTGATGAACATTGGTGTACAGCACAGAGCAGTAAGTTTGGAGTGGGGGGTTGAGGGGGTGGGGAGCTTTAAAATAGTTGGCTTTTTCTTAAGGGGGTTTCACCCCCCCGCCCCAATCAATTTGAATTCTGAACCTGATTTATTGACTTTCTATCAAACAACACACATGACATTTTATCAAATGACCAGTACTGGGCTCAGTTTCCCGCAACATTTTGCCCATTAATTGCAAAACAATTCAACTGAGGACAAGAAAAAAAAAGACATCAGGAAATCAGTTTAACAAACAATTGAACATTTTAATGATCAACAAGATTTGTTTGAATGTTATAGTGGTGAGAAATATTTAATTAAACATTTCCTTATTGAATAATCTGACACCTTTAAGCTAACGTACTGGAAAATGATTAACCTACCGCAGATTGCCTGCGCTTCCTGTAATGCGGTTTATCCAATGTTACAGATCACTTTGTGGTGTGAGAAATCATTCCTCTGCTGCTCAGGACATAAAAATAGACAGCACTTCCAACATGGGCCTTCTGTACATCTTTAGAGGTGCTGCCTGTGTCCTGTGTGTTCATGCACGCAAATGCACATGCCCTGGTGTTCAGTTCAGAGTGTAAATGGTAACATGACAGCAACATTGCAATAACACACACACTTATATAGAGGCCCTGATATTTCACACACAAATGCATGATGACTTCCGTTTATCCATACAGGTCGTAGCATGGACATGTGCTGTGAGGAGTTCACACTGCATTGCTACCACTTTGAGAAGCACTGCACAATAATTCACTCAAGTGGTTTTGCTACATTAGTGGGAACAACATTGTTGTAAATTGTGAGTAGCAAAAAATGGGTCACAAAACTCTGTGATAAAGCTGAGCTGAATCTGTTTAGCCTCGAGCAAAGGAGACTAAGGGGGGACATGATCCAGGTATATAAGATTCTAACGTGTCTGGATGCTGTTCAGCCAAATGGCTATTTCAATATTAGTTTAAATACTAGAACTAGTGGCCATAAGTGGAAATTAGTGGGGGAACGTTTTAAAAATGAATTTGAGGAAGCACTTCTTTACACAGCGTGTAGTTAGAGTATGGAATAGTCTTCCTGTTAGTGTAGCGCAAGCTAAAACCCTGGGTTCCTTTAAATCAGAGCTAGATAAGATTTTAACAACTCTGAGCTATTAGTTAAGTTCTCCCCAAACGAGCTTGATGGGCCGAATGGCCTCCTCTCATTTGTAAATTTCTTATGTTCTTAAATGTGTAATGCAACCATTATAGTAATCTGAGTGCGACTGAACAGTCCTTGCGGTCAACTGAAAGTCTCTATCGTAATAAATAAATGAGATCAATGTTTAGAACATGGACAGACTGCCATTTTTGTATATTCCTAGCCAAAACAATCATGTTCCTCTTGGCTCAGAGTGAGAAGGAGTGCATGGTCTTAAACGCTGAAGTTAATAAGGGAACCTGTTGCTATTGGCTGAAAGGGAAACGAAGGACTTGCTATTGGCTAAAAAGACTAGACTGCATATTTGAGAATCCTAGTGTGTGTGTGAGGTCTATGCTAAAGGATAGGGGGTTGATTGTGGTGTTTGGGAAAAAAGGGTAGAGGCCGGAATTGCAAAATCTCAACACCACAGGATGATCTGTAACATGGTTTAGAGAGAGCAAAGTTTAGAGCGTTTAACAGTCTGAGCAGTGAGACCATTGACTACGAGAGAACCAGAGCAAATTGTGCTGTCACCGATTTGTGCATCTTTAACATTGGCAAACTGCAAAGTTTGCTAATTAATACTGCAAACATAATTAGAATCACTCAAAGGAAATGGTCTCAAAAATGATATGTCAATGTGGAATGTCAGTTTAAGGAATCTATTTAATACATTACATTTTGAGAAGCATATTTTTTTTGCTTATTTTGAAACTTTTTTGCAGTAACTGTGCCTAATGGGCTGCATGTTTAATTGTTGGACGATTAGCTTTGGCTATTTAGCCGTGAAGGGCTTAAAATGGGTCAGGTCTTCAGAGCTGAATTTAATCCATTGACATATAACAGATGTGCTTGTGCTACCAGTGTTGCAGAGGAGCTGGCGGTTTGGGCCTGCTGCTGTTTGGACTGGAGCACTGGGACATTGGCTGGGGGGTTGCGGCTGGGGGGGGGGGTCCTCTCAGCATGTTTTATTGCGCCCTGTGCTGAGACTGAGCTAAATCTTTGTTGGCAATGCATCTTCCCACCAGACTACGGCTTCTGCTGAGCATGTGACTCTGCCAGAGAAATAACGGATAAAAAGTGAATCCCTCGGGAGGGAAGAGGATAGCGTACAGGGAATGCTGCTCCTTCCATTGAGCTCCTTCCCGTGTGAAGAAAATCCCGATGGAATCTGGCTGCATAGCTATAAACATCGAACACAAACGGCACTGTCGGCCATCTTGGAACCGGACCTCCATTGTTTACAGGGCACCCGTTTTAAATACAAATCAGAAATGTCTGTCCCAAGCACTCCAGTCCAAGAGCAGACACCAAGACCCCGCCTCCGCATCAGGGGTCGCCCACAAGCCTCTCCGCTCCTCCACTAGCTCCGCCCTCAGTCTGGTTACTTACTGAGGTGCCGGGAAGGCCCGGTTTCCCTGGTACGCCATCGTTGCCAGGGAGACCCTGAAAGAAGGAACTGGGGTTGAATTGCCTTAGCCTGCGGGCACAGTGTAGCCATAGCCCTTGCCAGCACAGGTGCGTGCGGAGAAAAGTTTGGCGCTCCCTTATTTTATTGCCAGTCGTTAATTAGGTTACAGTTTGGTTCTTTTTAGGAGTCTTTTAGAGGATAATCACAATACCAGGTTAAAGACCAAGCAGGGTTCACTATGTGAGAATTGCTCGCAGAGTCACACAGAACTACACAGATCAGAATGCTTTGCTACAGACCAAATTAGCAGATTTCAGATTTTAAGATCTGATCAGTAAACAAACGCCCAGAGAACATGCTGGGAAACCAAAACAAACACAAAACATATCACTAAACTTACAACATATAATTTACTATCTATCATACTTCTCTAGTGTTTGCGTGATGTTTTCCATTACAGATTCCCATACAGTCTGTGGTACCGTCTGTTAGTGAGGGGGAAGGAATTGTAGTTAATGTTGATGGATGCACAGACTACTTTAAAAAGCTCTGCATTAAACTTCATTAATTCTCCAGCTCACAGTGAGCTCTGCCAGGTCTTTAAGAGCAGAAATCTCTCCCACACGGAGATTCTGGACCACTCCTTTGAGGGTCATGTTTAACAAGCAATGTTAATGTTTGACCTTCTCATATCAGGATTTTATGCTGTACTTCAGCCGTGAGATTTGGCTTTTACAGTATTTGAGTCACAATAATAAATTCTCTTTTCAATTCTCCAAATTAGTGTTGCATTACTTAAATAGCACAGAAAGTATTAGCAGTTCTATTTCAGATTTTGTTTTTAAATCTCATTTTCATTACACAGCTGCTGCGTCGTCTCCGCAATTGCTTGACGGAAGTGAAACCCAGAGACAGGGGAAACACGGGAGAAACTTCCTGGTAAAAATGTGGAAAAGCAAAGCAAGAAGATGTCCGGGCCCAGGGCCTCGCTCAAAGCGCCAATGGCATGCAAGAGCCTGCTTCTGCACAGCACAAACTGGGGGCCAATCTCCTCCAATCAGAGTCTGCTGCCATGGTGATGTCATCACCATGTTCCCCATGTCATAACTGGGCACCCCTTCCCTCCCAAGCGCTCCTCATAAGTGTTAGTGGCAAGAAGTGGCACTTTTAAAATTAGTTACAACATACTTATTAAGCAAAAACAAGTTTTTAAGTCACTGTTGCATTGATTAAATACCTAGCTAAATCATTTAAAATATTATTTTATATCTAAATTACACTTACTGTTTTATTTTGATTTGTAATTTTTGCTAAATTATCTTTTATATAGAAGTGGTCTGATTTTGTAGCATCATTTTCCCAGTACATTTTTACTGCAGTTGAGATCAGTCTTAGCGAGAATCCACAGCTGCCCAAGCACACCCGACAAAGCCAGGCAGCGGAGTGATGAAGGGAAAGGGTGTCGGGGGGGGGGGGGGGGGTTGGGACGTAGAGGGGTGTCCCGCTGTCCCAGNGGGGGGGGGGGGGGGGGGGGGGGGTTGGGACGTAGAGGGGTGTCCCGCTGTCCCAGTGAGAGAAGCCAAAAGGCCGTGCCACAGCCGACGGACCCAGCCCACACTATACCTGCGGTCCCTGGATTCCCATGAACCCCTGGGGCCCGGGAGGACCGGGGGGTCCGGGAGGTCCGGGGGGTCCCTGTGACATGAACCAGATGGAGGGCTGCTCAATATCAGTCTGAGCCGGACCGGAACCAGAATGCAAAACACTCAAAACAACTGTTTAGGTATCATACCTATGACCATGTTTACAGAGTGCGATAACTCATGGATGCTAGCTAAGAAGCAGGCACACTGATTAATATGGTTCACGAGATTCTACCTGCAATGCAACATTCATCAACAACCCCAACATTATAATATTATTAGTCCTATGGTGATTATTCATCAGCATATTTACGATGATAGAGCGATAAAGATGCGTCACTCAGACCTGAGGACCTGGTTGCCAGGTATGCTGACCTCCAGGGGCTCCCTGCAAGGGGAAAGCAATCGATGTCAGAGCAGCTCACTGCAGCATTGTGTGTGCATCCGGGGGCAATGCGTGTGCACGTGACCGTCGGTGTGGCTGCGTGTTTTACTCACAGGGCCTCCGTTTCCACTGTAGTTGGGTGACAGGCAGTTACACTCTCCTGGCTCTCCCTAAAAAGAGCAGAGGGACGCCTCAGTGTGACATCACCTCTCCGTTCCGTGGGTCTGAGTTTCCCTTGCGAAGCAATGCATTCATTTACATTCACAGCCATTCCCCTAGCACAGCGCTCCCCAATCTGGTCCTCAGGGACCTGCAGATAGTCCACATTTTTGCTCCCTCTCAGCTCCTGGTATCTGGGAGGATGCAAAAACATGGACCATCTGCGAGGCCCCAAGGGCCGGATTGGGGAACACTGCTCTGGGAGGTGCCCTTACCCTGAACACAACATAGGGCTACTGCTCTAATCTAGAACACGTCTAGTCATAGTCAATGTTACAGAAATGAGCTCCAGAGCGCCACCTCTCTTCACTCTTGAGGATGGTCGACTAGCAAACCTACCCTGTCCCCTTTAGCTCCATTGGCACCCTAAGGCAAAAAAAACACACATATAAGGGTCCTATAACATCAGAACATGTTCATCACATTTACATTTTATTTATTTATAAAGCACATTGTTTTTAGAAGGGAGGATCAGCCGGCCCCTCATGCAGTTGGGGGTTTAGGGCCTCGCTCAGGGGCCCGATGGTGACATCAAGAAAATGACGGGAAAGGGGGGAGCAAATGAGGAAGAGGAGGAAGCCAAGCTCGCTCACTCACAGGTTGTCCATCCTGACCGGGGATTCCAGGCGACCCAGCAGAACCTTTCCTTCCCTACAGAGGGTCCAAAGAGCAGGAACACATTCAGACACACAAACTCTCCTCCAAACACAGGAGAAACACGGTCATATACTCAAGGGCTGCTAACAGAACATGATACTAAATTAAACCACTAGCTAACACCCTTAGATCTAATGCACCCTTACCGGGGTTCCAGGTACTCCAGCGCCTGGGGGTCCCTCTGGCCCCTGGGGTCCCGTCTCTCCCTGGGGAGGTAAAATCTGATCAATGATAGCGCAGCAGCGCTGGTCACGCCTCCACAAACAGGCCGGGGGGGCTTTGGAGATCGGCCCAGCAGGCTCATCCCAACTTACTTTGTCTCCTTTGAGTCCCACTGGTCCAGGAGCGCCGTCCTGTCCGGGGGGGCCCTTTAAAAACCAACACACTGCAATTTAATCACGACAAATCACACAGATTAAATTACAGTTCTCCCACCTGCTCATTTGTCATAGCTTAAATGCAGCAGCGAGGCTATAACACTGCTTTTATCATCATTAATAAGGAGCACAGACTCCTGGATCACACAGCATGAAGGGGGGTGTGTGTGCTAAGGGCTGTAACACAGAACTCCACGCTTATACGGGTTCTGAGCAGGTTTGTCGCTATTTGCAAGCCGCTCCATTGGGATGACGAGGAAACCCTGGGTGAGTCATGTGAGGCGCCCGTCCCGCGTGCCGGCTGAGGGGTTGGGGGAACGGGAGCAGCCTTACAGCGACTCCAGATGGTCCTCTAGGTCCCTCCTTTCCCTAGCAAAGAAAATGCGGGCAAGAGAAGGACTCATTCAAAGACTGCGCAAACATATGAGCGACACAAAGCCTTCTCTGATCGACATGTCAAGGGGAAGGAGATCAGGCATCCCTTTAAAAATACATCTGGATTTGTTATGCTCTGCTTGCCTTGCTTGTCTTACAGCAAATCTAAGGTCAGGCGCCAACCTTACAGGAAAACCCAAACTTCCTCTTCTTCACCTGACATTACTCAATGAGATGTTTGCCATGTGCGCGGGTCAGGATGGATACAGGGCTACGATCTAATGAAGGTTTAAACTCAAAAACCGATAACCTACCCCGATGAACTATCACTACGCAGAATCATGAACATTTTTAACAGGAAACACTTACTTGAGGTCCAGGCCTCCCAGTTCCTGCACTTCCTGGCTCACCCTGCATGACACATTATCAGCACAGAGCACCAGGTCAGAGGCGCACAGTGGAGCATCTTAATCCAATAACACAGCCTCAAACACAGCATCAGATAAAGCCCGCACAGGGCCACCGCACAGGACCTCCGCACACAGCTCCTTAACAAGCACGCAGCATTCAGAGGTGTCTTTCAGCAGCCTCATAATCCTCTAAAGATCAAAGCATCGGTGATGTGTGTGGGGAGATTAACACACTTCTTGGCATGCACCTTATCCTGCTCAAATAAAAACCCCTTCACTCACCTGTATGCCCTGTGGACCTGGGGGGCCCGGTATGCCCTGGGAGAAGGCAAACAGACAGAACAGTATTTGCATGTTTTTTTTGATCAAAAAACAAAAGTAAATTTCGCATTATAATCTTTTAAAAAAAGATAGTGACTATAGTTTAGGACGGAGGATATCTTCCTCAGATCCCAGATGACCCAGTCGGTAGGGGGTCAGAACAGTCACATCTCTGCTAGGCACAAGAACAAGGCACTTAACCCCTGAGAAGCTCCAGGCGTGTTGGAAAAATGGCGGAACCTGCTCTATGATACCCGGCTTTGCTGCATGTACTGTGCTAAAGTCTGAGGCAGCCAAAGGAAATGTTATAGATATTTATCTGGGTAGTAAGTAGGGCTGCACGATTAGATTGAATCTCAGTCTCGATTCCTCGATCTCAATGCGATCTCATTCTTAAAATGTCACCGATTTTGCCGCGTTTGCACGAGTGGGGAGATCTGTTGCATCAAACCAGGGGCTCCATTTTCTCCATGAGCTGTACCATCAAATGACAGGAGTGCGTTACACCGCGTGACAGAAAGGGGAGGCAGATACACAGGTGTTATAGTAAAGAGCAGGTCAGGCGTAAGCTGACGATTAGCGTTCCTCATCGGAAATGCCAGCGCAGATTAGCGGAGTGACGTTACTTATTTCTTTTATTCTCTGGAAAGATCGATCTGCGGGCAAGACTTAAAAATGGATTATAAACATGTCACAGACCAGTAGCAGGGACGTCTAATAATCGGAGAATGAGCTGATGAAATCCCTCGTCCTCCAATACAGACAATGGCTGACTGTCCAATGAAATCATGTCCAATATTTTGGTATTTGTGTTTTCAGCTCTGGTGCTATTAACTTTGAATTTTGATAAAGTTTAAATATCAGCCATCAATATCGGCCAAGACTGACACATCACACTGATGCCAATTTCTTGATTTTTAATGAATATCAGTCGACACTGATATGTTGGCCAATATATTGTGCATCTCTACTAGTGTTGTTCCATCTTCATAAAGACAATAAGTAAGGAAAATAAAAGTATTATTATTTTAGTAGCAGTAGTAGTATTAATAAGAGAAATACTAGAGAAAGATATTGGGCAAGAATCATGAGAGAAAATCATGATCTCGATTCTGTGTGAAAAAAAAAAATTGTGATTCATGTTTTACCCAGAATCATGCTGCCTTAGTAGGAAGTATATATTAACCGTGAATAAAAAACACAATTTAACATTAGATCATATGCAAATTAAGAGTCAACACAACACCGCTTCAGTTCCCAAACCTCTCCTCGGCACATCAGCTGTTCCATGTATTTGTTCAATTTCGCCATCGGCTCACTTATTTCATTAATTAAATTAGTTTAAAAACTCAATGAGGTATTGATTAGCCATATGTGGTGTGGTAGTGATTTAGTCAAAATGTGCATGGGTGTATTGGATGGTTGCTGCAAATACTGTGGTGACTTTAGGAGAGGTTTTGAAATGGGTAAGCTGGCACGCTTTGGTAGACATTATAGTTTTGAAGATCATTTAAACATCATTATCTTTGACTGCCTAAGACATTTGCACAGTATTATATATGCGTGTCTCATAGGAGAGCATGTCGGGATACGTGAAAAGAAGCATTCCGAAGTATCTGTACTTGTGCAAATGGCAAATGAAGCATCACTTCACTTCATTTCATTTCAAGTCGGGGTGGGGGGGGGGGGGGGAGGGGGGAGCAGTAAGCAGACTTACATTCTTCCCAGGAATGCCAATCCCGGGGGGGCCGGAGTCTCCTTTCTCACCCTTTATTCCCGGCATGCCAACCACGTCTGTCTCTCCGTCCAGAAGAGACGGACAGCTATCACAGGAATCGCCCTGAAGACAGACAGACAGGCAGACACATACAGGAGGAAGCAGACAGACGCGAATGCCGAGGATGAATAATGGAAAATAAACAACATAATCAGGTGAAGAGACTCAGGGACGCAGTGAAACAGGCGAGCTGGTAAACAGAGCATGCATCAGACTGATAGGACAGACAAACCTTTTCTCCTTTGATCCCAGGCTGGCCGTCACTCCCTGGCTCCCCATGAGTGCCTGGAGTCCCCGCAAGCCCCTGTATGCCCTGCCCTCCCCAGGGATACACGTGCATCACTTGCATGCTTGCTGCCATATGCTTCATCATAATTTCTGGGCCTTAACGACAGACTGACATCCTGTAGCCCAGCCCAACCTTCACATGTGGCACGGTTGCGTCGAGACGCCAAATCAGCAGCATGCCTTTGCACATCCAAAGCCGGAACCGGCATAGTGCTGAGACTGCAATGTCACCTATCACTGTCATCCATCATTCTACTTGCTACATCAACCGTGATGTTTAACCAATAGCAGTATTTACACTAACAATTCATATTGCACACTGTGAGTTTGCACTGTGTACTGTCTTTGTGCCTTGTCTGCTTCGCACTGCATGTATGTTCGTCTGTGCTCTATGTACTCACTGCTGAATGCACAGGAATCTCCATCTGGGATCAATAAAGCTCATCTAATGTAATAATCTAATGTAACGGACCCACCTGTTCCCCTTTCAGCCCCACAGGTCCCGGTCTCCCCTACAAACAGCCAAAATAACACCAAGCATGTTAGTATGACATCATCACCCTGACTGCCACAATATCGCTACACTGTACCAATATTTTAATTCTCTTTGATTTTTATAGCTGTAAGCAGCTGCCAACTCCAAAAAGACTAACTGTAACTAACTGTAAAATAAATGAATAAAAACTACAGTTGGCCTGCCAAATTTTGTAAGTGGTTTATTTAAGGTTAGTCCGTCGGTCCTGTGATTAAATGAGCAGGTCTGGACTGAACTGGACTCGTCTTCACAAAAGGAGAGAAGCCAAGCACAGACGAGTAGCTCCTGAAAGCCTCTTTATTCTTCTGCTTGCCAATAACGCTTCCAAGATACACGAATCCGATACGTGCTAATGGCGCGGCAGACAGTTTGAGGCTGATAATGCATATTTATCATAATCACGCCCCCCTCCCAGCTTCTGTGCTCATTAATCTGATGCGATGAGCTCACCTGTCTTCCCACCCCACCCACACCAGGGGGCCCCGGCAGGCCAGGGGGTCCCAGGATCTTCATGACAGTCGGACTGCCCCCGACTTCTGCAAGTCCCGCTTCACACGGACCACACGGCTCACCCTGCAGGATTGGAGGACCCGGGGGGGTCGGGCAGGGGGGTGCGTAGGGAGGAGTGCAGTGACATCTAATGTTCAACATGCACACCAGTACAGTGAAGTTGGGGTTTGCAAAAAGGTTTGAATTTTTTCTATTTTTCAGAAATCATATAAGCTCATAGAAACACACACACACACACACACACACACACACACACACACACACACACACACAGGCTTGTAATTATATCTTTGTGGGAAAAACTATAGAAACTATAGAAAAACTCATGTTGGGACATGACGACCTTAACCCCTAACCATCCCTTACCTTAACCACAAGTAATCAAACAAAACAGGAGACTTTGGGCATTCTTAGTTTTTCGATCTTTTCCAGAGATCTTTGTGTGAAAAATAGTCTCCACAATGTTAAAATAACAGGTTTTTATTACATTGTAGGGAACATTCGATCCCCACAATGTAATATAAACATAATCTACACACCCTCCCACACACACGCACGCATGCACACACACATACACACACACACACACGCACGCATATGTAGGGTAAACATATCCTTATGGGGACCACTCATTCACACGCATACACACACACACACGCACACACACACACACGAACACACACACACGCACACACACGCACATACGTGCACACGCACACACACGCATGCACACACACGTGCACACACACACACACACGAACACACACACACGCACACACACACACACACATGCACACACACGTGCACATGCACACACACGCACACACACACACATGCACACACACACACACACGCACACACACGTGCACATGCACACACACGCACACACACACACACACACACACACCTTACCTTCTCTCCCTTGAGTCCTTGGCCCCCCAGGCCGGGAATGCCAGGCTCCCCCTAGTAGGAACATGACAAACTGAATGATACCCGCAAAGCACAACCTTTGCGAACAGGAAACGTGCTTAATCTACAATTACTTGTGCCCCCTCAGCAAATTCCATACTTCACTTGCACCCAAACCTTTAAAAATTCATACATTAACATTTTGTTCATTCATATTCATTTTTTTTTTTGCTTTGAAGAAACTTTTTTAACCACATACATTATAGGGATACTAACTTTCTTGCATGACTACATTCACGGGTGATTCTAGAATTTTTACAGGCGGGGGACACAAAAGAGGGGTCATAATTCATACAGAGGGGCCAACCTTATTATTAGCCAATGATATGCTCTGAATTGATGAGTGACAGGGGAGAGGACACTCAGGAGGCCAATCAGCTTCTAGCTGGGGCTAGTGCCCTGGTGTCGCCACCCCTCTATACACCCCTTTATATATTAAACACTGGAATAACAAGTTGTTTGGAATATTTATGGAAATCTGCATATTTGAGCGCAAACCCACCCAATGGGCAGGTTGGGGGATGAGCTAAGCTAGCATTTCCCAACCCAGTCCTTGGTGACCCTCAGACAGTCCACATTTTCATCCCCTACCAGCTCCCAGCCAATGCCTGGCACAGTATGTTGGGAGCTGGGTGGGAGCAAAAATGTGGACTGTCTGGGTGTCCTGGGGACTGGGTTGGGAAATACTGTTCTAAAGGGTGAAAGCCATGGGGATGGAAAAACGACACGACACGACTCACCTTTCCGCCCTTGGACCCAGCCTGGCCTTGTGCCCCCTTTGGTCCTGGTTCGCCCTGGAACAACAGAAACCCACCAACATCTCCTGTATATGCATGAGGACTTCATCTTATCCAGAGCAAGAGAAAGCGTACGCAGGCTCATACCCACCATGACTCCCTCTGTTCCACTGGGACCCAGGCTACCCTGGAAGCCAGAGACAGGTGTCAGTCGGGGGAGGAAGAGGGACCACCCAGGACTCTGCCTCTCCATCAAAAAACCACCATCACACTTCACCTTATTGATATCCTGGGTACTACCTACTACACTGCTGTCATTTCATATAATCAATGGTCAAAAAAGACCAACTGCAGACTGAAGAAGCACCCACACAATCAACTCTTAACAACTGGATCTGAACTCCATCGATGTTCCAGAGATCCTCTGCCTAGTAGGTCAGCAATTGGAGAATCAACCTCATTTGCGGGACCCTCAGGGGCCTAAAGGAAGACCTAGACCTACCCCTTCACAGCCACACCAGGCAGGGCATGAGGTCCTACTGCAGACTGTCCATGTAACACCATACAGGTCATCATTGAGTAATGTCTTGAGAACATTTGACACCTTCAGTTTTTTTCCTCCATAAATTAAGTTCATATTCAAAATGTATGTGTTAAAGTTTCATAGCACATAAACAAATATAACCAAATTTTAAATATATATTAATCCATCCATCCATCTATTTTCCAAACCGCTTATCCTTCTGGGTCGCGGGGGGTCTGTAGCCCGTCCCAGAAGCTATGGGCACGAGGCGGGGAACAGGATGAGGAATCAAAAACAAAAAAGAGACCATTATAACGATCTGTAGTGAATAATTTCATTTTTATGTTACCATGTTAAACATAATTCAAAATTAATCAAAATGCTATAACATAATTTATAATACACCTTAAGCTGCAGTCTTATCCATTACCTATGTATGATGTCATTATTCTTTTATATGATGTAGCTCATATTTAAACGAAGCCTCTATATCAGTGAGTGAAAAGTTGTGTTTCGATGCAATGAGCTCCCCTTTGCACCTGGGTGTGTTGCAGGTACAGGCTGCATTTGAATGCTTGTTTACAATCATCATGTGTCTCACTCCAAGATTTGTCTCCAGCAGTAAACAGCATCAGCTTTATTCTGCTGCCAAGTCTGTTTATTTGGCTCGGTGCTTTATGCAGTTCATCAGCCATTATCTTCTTACAGTGGTAAGAGAGGCAGTTTGATGGGGAGAAGATGAAGTTTATAAACCATAACTTTATGTGTAGAATAGAGGCTATAGAGCTGGCTGCAATATTTAATAAATAATTGTAAATTACAATTTCCAGTTATCAAAGATACCATAAAATACCACATTAAATGTTTCCAGGCAGTAGAAGTACCTTTCACATAAATCATAACATTTTTCGCTTGTCATTTTGCCTTATTATCCAATATAAGCATTAAATAGGCAGGTATAACCATGCATCCCCCGAAAGGTTCGAAGAGACCAGCAAGTCTTCTAAACACACGGTCAGCAGAGGACAAACTCGGCTCTGTTGTCACATCCCAGGACATAAATCACTGATAAAGGTCTTTAGTCATTAAAGGTCCAGCCAGATAAACGAATACATGGACAAATACACCAACAGATAAACACAGACAATAGATAATTAATCTAATATATTGATCGATTTCAGTAGTGTGAAAGGAACACAAAGAACATATTTATCAAAAGTCAGCTTTAAGATGTCACCTGTTAATTGTCATCTATCTGGACATGTTTAGCTAAACCTAAAGCATCAGCTCACAACTGAGATGAAGAGCAAATGAGTATTTACACCCCCCCATGAGTAATGAGTATTTACACCCCCCCATGAGTAATGAGTATTTACACCCCCCCATGAGTAATGAGTGTTTACACCCCCCATGAGTAATGAGTATTTACACCCCCCGTGAGTAATGAGTGTTTACACCCCCCATGAGTAATGAGTATTTACACCCCCCATGAGTAATGAGTATTTAAACCCCCCGTGTGTAATGAGTGTTTACACCCCCCATGAGTAATGAGTATTTACACCCCCCATGAGTAATGAGTGTTTACACCCCCCATGAGTAATTAGTGTTTACACCCCCCATGAGTAATGAGTATTTGCACCCCCAATGAGTAATGAGTGTTTACACCCCCCATGAGTAATGAGTGTTTACACCCCCCATGAGTAATGAGTGTTTACATCTCCTAGTATGACTGCAAAGCTGTTCTGCCACCCTTTGGAAGACCACACCAATGGGACGCTTGAGCGCTACTGACTGCTGTTAGGTGCTGTGTACAGTCCAGCAGATATCCCAAGCACTCCAAATCAACAACTTTTCAGTTTCTGCCACAGAGCTTGACAAACCACCTAACCGGTTCATCGCCGCCTTGTACTTGACAGGAGCCTTGTGATAAAGTTCCCTTGTTATGTTTGGCACAGTCCTACAGTGCACGCCGTCATCCTCTCACAGATTTCTGAACGGCTCCTGTTCTCCTGGGCGAGGATAAATGAGAGGCAGTTTCTTTTATGTGTCATCCGTCACATCGCTGGATGGATGGGAATTACTTTGATTTGCCCCTCAGCCTGAACTTTTTCCATTTGCGTTTGTTGCCCCTCGTCTCCTCCGGGAGAGCGACACATTAGTTGACAGACTGCGGATTAGTCAGCTTCTTTTTAAATACATCTTTGAGATTCGACTTCTTTTGTGCCTTGGTACATGTTGTTAAGTGATTCAATGGCCTGCCCTGGACTTTGATTCAGTGTGGTTTTGATGAAGTTTGATGAAGGTCTCCGTCTCGGACCTGAAAGCCACTTCAGATCCCTCAGAAGAAGTAAGTAAACCAGGACCGCTTGTGCTGGAGTTCAACATTTCTTTTTGTGCAAGTATGTGGATGAATTTGACAAATAAATGATTACAGAGAAGTATCGGGACATGTGGCACGTAATCTCCTTCACATTTACTCCGAATTCACATTTCAGAAGTCAGAAAACAGGAGATGGACACCCAAGAGCTTTTATCATTACTTAGGGAGCGAAGAAACCTCAGGTTGTCCAAATAATTCTGAATATGACTCTCTGCCAGATGCACAGTGTGACCAGGACTCACCTTCTCTCCTTTGAGGCCAGTCAGCCCTACTGCCCCAGCTTCTCCCTGCACAAGAGTCAGCGATTCCTCAGCTTCAAAACTCAACGGGCTGTTACTTTATACTGAGACTTTATAGATGTATCTAATGAACAGGTGCACAGAACCGGCTGAGCGGCATCCTGTTCACCTTTTGGCCCTTCTCGCCCGTTCCATGGTCACCCTTCTGACCCTTCAGCCCCTGCTTCAGGCTGGCCTGCTCTGCCACAGGCCACAGATTGCCAGGTAAATCCCCCAGAGTGGGACAAACAGCACAAGGCTCGCCCTGTGGGGAACAGAGGGTGTAGACTGAGAAGCATACACTACAGAGAGTGTAGTGGGTATAGACTGATCAGCATACACTACAGAGAGTGTAGTGGGTATAGACTGAGAAGTATACACTACAGAGAGTGTAGTGGGTATAGACTGAGAAGCATACACTACAGAGAGTGTAGTGGGTATAGACTGAGAAGTATACACTACAGAGAGTGTAGTGGGTATAGACTGAGAAGCATACACTACAGAGAGTGTAGAGGGCATAGACTAAGCAGTATTCACTACAGAGAGTAATAATAATCGATACTTTATTGATCCTCATGGGGAAATTGTATTTACACCTCCCTCAACTTGTTCTTTTTTGTAGAGTAAGTTGTCTGCAAAGGGCAGCCACCCATAGTGGCGGCCAGGGAGCTGGGGGTTAAGGGCCTTGCTCAAGGACCCGCAGACGTGCTCTGAGGCTGGGTTTGAACTGGTGAACTTCTGCTTACAGGCACACAGGTGCAGCCCACTGAGCCACACACTGCCCCAGTGTACTGAGAAGTATGAACTACTGTAAATATACTGTAGATATACTATATACTACCTGTAGAGTGAATACTACAGAGACTGTAGAGGGCATAGACTGAGAGGTATACACTACAGAGACTGTAGAGGGTATAGACTGAGAAGTGAATACTACAGAGACTGTAGATGGCATAGACTGAGAGGTATACACTACAGAGAGCGTAGAGGGTATAGACTGAGAAAGGAGCACTACACCAATTGAACAGGGTGTGAGGAATAGAGAAGTCAAGGCCAGATAATATATCGGCTCATACTAGAAAAATCTGAGCACTCTCAACAAGATTGTTTTTATCTGAAACCATTAATATGACCATGCTCTGCATGGGTGCTTCAGCACATATTCGTATATTTAATTGCTGAGGGATCCACTCACTTTTTCACCTTTGACTCCACTTGACCCATGTTCTCCCTGTGAATTTTTAAAAAGGTTAACCATAACAATCAGTGATAATTACTGTATGCTCTAGCTGTCAGCACCACAGTACTGGAGCACAGAAAATTAGAGATGGAGGTTCACGTATGTAAACGAACTATAATCCAAATCCGAATGTGACGTTGACCTACGATATTATACGGGATGTACTTCCAGGTCCTGTTTGCTACATGATGTCCCAAAAATGCATACATACTTGCCCACAAAGACCAATGATGTGCTTGGAGAAAAGTTGCCCCGTACCTTCTTGCCTGGTTTTCCATCCAAGCCCTTGAGGAGAGACAAGCAGTGGTTGCATCAAAACAAGCAGTTGCGCTCAGGATAGATTAGCGTTCATTTCCAGACGTAGGCACCCCACCTCCCACCCACCTCAGCCTCTGAAACTAGGTATGATGGATGGAGTCTGGCATTATTGGAAATCGTTATGGGAAAAAGCACACAGGCTTTTATGGAGTGCATCTGTCTCACTCCACAGAATTTATTCCGTGCACAAAGGGAAGCGTAGTGATAGCGAACGGCTAAAATGACAGTGGAGCGAAATGCACGGATTATGCCGTGAAGATTTCATTTCGGCTCTTTCCAGAAACTGCTGATTGTGACGGAGGGAAAGAAAATGGCTCTTTGCTTAATGCCAGATATCTTCTGGCTCATTTTATTCCCTCTGCGAAGGACGATAGCAGTCTTTTAGTTACAGTATTGAGGAATGGGACCAGACAGGTTTAGTGGCACAGAGACAGGGAAACAGAAGTTCACTTTACATAGTTGACGGTCCCGGAATTCAACACGAGTGCTGTGTTTCGGATTTTCAGAAAAGTCATAAAATGCTTCCATTTCCCTCAGCCCTGAAATGGTATCTAATAGCGGCAACTATTCCTCAGACTCCAGAAAAACATTCTGATTTAACGAAAAATGATGGCTCTCTCCTTACCCGTGGGCCTGGTTCCCCTGTTCCTGGAGTTCCTGGTTCTCCTTTGAGCCCTGGCTTTCCATGCAGGGCCACAGTATTGACCATGTCCTCAGACAGAGTGGGGCAGAGCTCACAGGGCTCCCCCTGCAGGAGACACACGGACATACTCACACACGGACACATGGATCTGCACACAAGAGTGCTTCTGTTTAATTTAAGCAGAGGCAATGCAACAGCATTTTTAGGTGTTCCTGGGTGCTGAGCAGCAGTCTGAACTACCCAGCACAGCTGACAGACATCTGCACTTGGAAGCACCCTTTCTGTTTCTCAACGACACTCCCAGGCCTGCAAAGCTCTGTAGTCCCAAGTTTTCCACTGTTGGCCCATTATATGCACCCCCCCCCCCCCATTTATCTGCTATAATAGTTAACCACGGAACATGGAAATACTCAGGGACAGAAGAAGACAAAGTACATTACAGACTCCATCCCTGTTACGGCTGTGCGGGAGGGAGAGAGAGAGAGAGAGAGAGAGAGAGAGAGGGAGGCTGTGGGTGTCCCTGTGCCCACAGGAACCTGAGTCAGGGCCCAAACCCCCTCTGGCCACAGCTGGCCGTGTGTGACATCACAGGCGTGACTCACCTTCTCTCCCTTCCCCCCCCCAGGGCCTCTGGGACCCTGTGAACAGAGAAGCCAGTTAAAGGAACTGAACTGCCAGTCTATAAACTAATTTCAGACACAGACATGTTGATGATGATGATGATGATGAAGGAGATCAAGGAGGCAAAAGTAGTTCATGAACAAGCTCTGCCAACCTACAGGATCACCAGGTTCGCCATCTCTCCCAGGCAGCCCGGAATTTCCCTGAAAAGATCAGATACCGGTCAGGAAACACTATTAACCGAAAAAAAATTGGTAATGTTCCATTTTACTCTATAATTCTGTAAGACTGGCATTTTTTTTACGACTGACAGTACAACAGAAGTGTCCAGCGAAAAGGCTCGACTCTCACGCTCGCTCACCTTGTCTCCTTTGGATCCAGGAGGCCCACCAGGACTGCCCTGTAAGGCGACAGCGCCGCCATTGTTAAAGCATGGACGTATGAGAGGGTGACTCACCGCTGCCCCCCGCCTGTAGTGTACAACCGCGCATTTTCCTGGCCACACTATAAGGAGTGCAGCCCTGAAGAGGCTCGGCGACTGCCAAACACACTCATTAAAGGGCTTTCGGCACGCCGATTCAGTCCTCTACCAGCAATGAAAAGCGTGCTGAGTGAAGTTCAGCTGAGAACCTTAAACCTGTAAAAGCCAAGAAAGAACTCTCCAGAAGCAAGGTGTCTATGGTGAGGACAAGTGAGGAATCTTACAGAGAGCAGTTTAATTAAGTGCAATGAGGCGAACCATTAGACCCTTGGATTCCACTACGATGCGTGTTCGTGGTACAGAAGCTTCTGAGAACAAATCGCTGCTGGACTTCATCATTTTCCTTTTTGCCTTCATATTTTTTGATAAGCAGCCACCCCACTGCCTGACAGGTACTGTAGCAGAAGACAAGCTATCTGCTGTCAATCAACTTGCTTTTTTCATAGTGCCATCAAGGGGAATTCTAGCATTTTTTTTAAGCAGGGGGAGGGGGGTATACGGGGGACCACCATTCTTACAGGGGACCTAACCTTATCATGAGCCAATAATATGTTTTGAATTGATAACTGACAGGGGTGGAGACACTCCAGGGGCCAATCAGCTTTCAGCTGGGGTGAATGGCCCTGTGGCCCCGCCCCTGAGTGCCATGTAAAGCAGAAGGACGTTTCTCTGTCCTACTCACAGGTGGACCAGGCTTCCCGATGCTGGGCGGACCAGGGGGGCCCGGTTCCCCTGCCATTCCCTCCGGACCAACTTCACCAGTACGACCCTGCAGGTGATACAGCTGATCACTAAGGGGCTTCACAGCAACTCACTCGTTCCAGTCTCTCACTGGTCTCTTAGTTATACATTAGTCACAGTCGCACACTCACTTCCCTTACTAATTTAAAGTATTAGGTCACTGACCCCTCCCAAGACACCTGAATGATAGTGATACTTGTAAACAATAATTAATCCCAGTGGCAAAGTGAATAACTGGATAAAGTAACTGAAGGCAACATGTTATGTCCTTATATGTATTATAGAATAATGCATATGATAATTTTGCTGTAGTTTCATGCGCAGCGCTAGTTAACAAGACTAAAGGGTAAAATCATGAATAAACCACGGCATGTCCAGACAGTTTTAAAGTAAACGTGCTTGAAAATGGTTTGGATTCGGCTCTGGCCTGATGTCGACGTGCTCCGCTCTCACCTTCTGCCCCTTGGGTCCGACGACACATATGGAACCAGCTCGACCCTAGAAGGAATCGGACAGGTGTGAGCGATGTCTGACGGTGCGCGCAGCACCGGGCGAGCTGCCTCCGATCACGGAGGAGATTCACTGCAGCCAGGAGCCGTCCTCACTGTAAGTGTCAACCCCGGGAAAGCGGCTCCTGCGAGCTTCCGGGTGACTGGAAGCGTTTAATGGCCAGACTTGGTAGAGGTTCCACCCAACAAGTTCAAAAAGACAGATCAAACATCACTCCGGCCCTGTCAGGGACCGGAAAAGTGCACAGATACCGACACGGCGCCGGGTGGAAGTGCGTTATCACTTTCATTTGCACTCCTGCAAGCCTTTGTATAATCCCAGGCGGTGAGGGGAGATTAAAGGCCTTAAATCTGCTTTAATTACATGTCTCCCTTCCATTTAAGACCATGACTGGCGCAGTATTGATTTCCGGTGCTTTGTTAGTCTTAATCCATATGGCCTTAGGTGAAATCAACACCACCAGAGATAAACAGGAAGGCGAACAGTACAAGGTAGCCGGCTTGGTGACATCATGCCCCGTTCTTTATCGGTAAAATATCAGCAGGCCGCTTATCAGCAGAACTTACTAATGCCTTGTGTCATGGATATCCTTTTACTCACATCTTTACCGGGAGTTCCAGGTAGGCCCAGACCACCGAGTTCGCCTTTCTGACCTTTATCCCCCTGTACAGAGTGTCAGCGAGAGATACAGAGAGAGAGGGTGGGGGCGGGGGGGGGGGGACTTGGCTCAGCTGGCTGAATTCAATCAATAGACCGACCTTGGAGTTGGTCAGTCTCCACATCTGAATTCAGTCTTTTCTCAGACAGAAAAAAGCAGATATCTTTAGTCCTCACCTTCATCCCAGCCGTATTCTCCCAGTTGCCAGGCCAGCCCTAAAATGGAAAGTGAAACCTTTTTTTTTTAAAATGACCAATCGATAAGCATGGAGTCTGTTTTGAGGCTTATGCCTCCGAGGATGTTGAGTCATGATGCTGAGCAGGGAGGGAATGTGGCTCCGGTCAGCTGAAGCCGGTACTCACTGACTCTCCCTTCTGTCCTTTCTCTCCTTTGGGCCCATCTGCACACTGAAACACAGACAGGCTTTAGACTGCAGACACCCCTCCCCCACCCAAGGCTACCCCCTACACTCATTAATGACCACAGTCATCTCTGATTTGGACTCTCAGCCCTCAACAATTTCCCGACAATTGGCCTTTGGAAGTTTTCACAGTACTGTTCCAGGAAGCCTTATAGTGTTTCATTAAGCCAGCATTTCGCTGAATGGGACCGTGGAAGAACATATATCTGCGATTATTCCGGGAGCAAGTCTCCCTACACCACACACTCCTCTTCTTCACATAGTCACTCCTGATCCTACATTGTCCAAGCATTCAGTGACCATGACAAACACAGACAAAGTCTATATGTATAGCATCTTCTGAAGATACTTCCCATACATCACTCCCACCACTACATGATTTTCACTTGATGGATGCAGCGTCGGTGGAGTTTACTCACAGACCCAGGGCTTCCAGAACCAGTGCAATCCAAACCCTGAAATGTCAAAATGTTCATGGTTTACTTTTGGCATCCTGGCATCTTCCCAGGCTAAAGCGCTGAAAGAAGTTACACTTTCAGCAACAGAAGTTTGTTAGTCACATCAGTGATGTGTGACTCCTTCATTTAACTTCAGAAACTACACTACATATTGCCCAGCTTCCACTTCTTTTATGGGACTTCCTAAGTCTTCCGCAGGCAGGTTAAAAACAGCGGGCCAGCTTGTTAAGATAATCAAAGACATCAGCTCACCAAATAAACATTGTTTATGGGAACGGCATGCAAGCTGCTGCACCCACTCGGCCCCCTGGGAGTGGGATCACAGTGCATGCTGGGATAGGACAGCTGGCACCTCAGCTGGGGGAGGGGGGCATACATCTTACCGGATCTCCCTTCTCGCCTTTGATGCCAGGATTTCCTAAGGAATTCAGCTCTCCTTGCTTGGTCTGAAACACAGTTACGGCATGATGGGTTCAGCTATATAGCACAGACACACACACACACGCAGTGCTGTTACAGCTGCCCTAATGCACTGGAACAAGAAATAGAAATTTTGCATCTTTAAATATTTCTGTATCCACCGATTTGCCTTTCAGTGATGTGATGACATCACAGTCTTTCTGCGTTACCAGGCGATCGCTGCACTCGGAGGTGAAGACAATCTCTGACTGAGAACAAAGCAGGTATTATTCAGCCCAGAATGGTGCTGCTTGTGTGTCCATGTGACTCTAACATCCAGTCAAAGGCCGTCATGAGCACTGGCACAAATCCAGCAGAATATTTTACCACCAGAGTGTAAAATCACAGAGGTTTTTTGCTTTTGGTAAATAATACATGTTTTTTTGTTTCGGGGGGGGGGGGGGGGGGGGGGCTGCCTCACCCAAACACATGCACTCTGATGACTTGCAGTTGCATGAATGTAAACAGACAATCTGCAGAGACGTTAAACACTGATGTTTGCGCAGGCTAAGTGTGCTATAAATGACTCAGTAAACCTCTGGCGGAGAGCTGTAAGGGTTCAGATCCTGGCACTGGGATTTTGGGTCCAGGTTCAACCAAGCCTGTTACATAATGCAGTACACGTAGCATGACTCAGCGAACGAGCTGTCATCCGGCGCATCAGCGAACATCTCAAGAATATCACGCTTCTCAGGTCCCCGCATCAGGGAGACAGGACACTGCAGCACTCTGTCCCATTTTTTCCATGTAATGATAGTTAAATGCTTTTATTTATACATGCACTTTACTGAAGAACTTTTTAGCACTTGTGCTCACAGGAACAGCACAACAACAACTGGCAAAATGTGTCCGGAACATCCAGTAAGTGCAATATCAAAGGATCGCATACTTTAAGAAAACAAAATAAAATCTATGAAAGCCCGCAGATGTCTATAGCACTTTTGTACTGACTGCTGTTGCTTTTCAGCTGCCAGATCTTTCCAAGGAGTCGGCGCAAAGAGAGCAGATCCCCAGAGCCATTTACAAACCCAGCACACCGGAGAAGCTTCTTAATTCCATTTACCATAAAGCCTTGCGAGAATATGAAAAATACGAGATGTATGTGTGGCTCATAGGAATTTTCGAAGTTTAGGGCAAGAAACCCTATTTGGTTCCAGGATGTATCTACCAAGATGCCTGATAGGCTGTTCTGTGACGCTTCCCCTTTAAATATGGAGGAGAGAAAATAGGCCCATGCTGAAAAATGGATGGCAGTGGCCTACTCACAAGTTCCTCGTTGAGCAGAACACAGCCAGAACACTGCAGGGGAGGGGGGAAGGGAGATGTGGAGGAGGGGGGGGGAGAAAGTTAAATGGATTAGTCCCCAGAATGGAATGCAGACTACTTTTCATTAGGAACCTGATAAGAATTAGCACATCCATACAGCACCTGGTTTGCTAACCCCAGTGCTCTCCAATCAGCTCGCAGCAACAGGTCAGCACATGCACACTGCACCAAGCTGCTTGCTTCAATAGGAGGCTGCTAGGGGCTGCCTGGCCCAGTTTAATCATAAATCACCTTATAATTCCTCATATTAACGCCTATTATAAAGCACGTCTCTACCAGAAAGCAAAGCAGACGCCAGGCAGCGTCTCACCTTCATGCTAACATCTCAGCGCGCGCATTTAGCCTTCGGCCGCCCGCTGGACGACGCCTTTGCGTGGTGTGGCCAGCGGGTGGCAGCAATGCTCAAGTTGGGGAGCGTGCTAGCTGGAAGGGAGGGCAAGGTGCGCGAGGTGGAATGCAAATGGGGTTCCGCCGTCATGCAGCCCCTTCAGTGAGCAGCGTCTCTCTCTCTCTCTCTCTCTCGCTCCGCAGAGTGCGGGAGACAAAGATCAATGCCACCGGGCGGATCCCCACAGCACCGGGGCTTGAGCTGGGTGCAGCTGCACAGGGAGCCAGTGAGGAATTCAGAACCGCTTATAAATAGCTCACGTCGCAGCAGAAGAATGCAATTAAAAATAAAACCTACCACCCGACAACACAGCCCGGGCCCGGCAGACAGTTATCATATACAGATGTTTTGAGCTAATGGAAAAAAATAAAGGGAGAGAGGACTTGGAACCGAAGGGCCCCATCAGTGGCCAGCGCACGCTGCCTGCACACTGCCTGCACACTGCTTCCTGAGGCTTCAGCTCACGTTAAAACTTTCCTATAGAAACCAGGATTATAGATGAGACAGACATTTGCATGCATGCACACGCAAGGCTTTATGCGCTTCACATGAATGCAGCATGACTGCCGTTTATAAAAACAGACGCTGTTAATTCGCTTGGCTCTCTGTGCCAAATCCATTTCAACAAGCTCCCCTGATTTTCCTGGCTACCAGTAATATTCAGAGGGTAGACATGCTGGTACCCTGAAAGGGTGAAAAAGTTTAAGGCTATATATTTTATACACATACACACGCAGTTCTTCATGCGGTAGATAGTTCAGGTTCCTTGACAGCACAGTGGTCACTGAATCGCAACAGAGTTAATCCCGATTGTTTATTTTTGGTGACTACTCTCTGTATACACTTATGCCAAGTAAGCAAGAACCGGCTCTGTAAAATATATTTCACTTTAGGAGAAGACAGTGAAGGATTACCGTTAGGGTTCTGGAGTTGTACTAGTATAGGCAAGATTTTAAAATCTCAAGGAATTAAGCACACTGATCAATCTGTACTTGACCTTTACGCAAAAGACACAAAAGCACATCTGCCAAAAGACTCGAGCAGTGAATGTCGATACAGAACATTCAGCACAATTTTGTTGCACTCTAATATTCTATTACATTATATAAACATTCAGTTTGCTTTGTAGAGTCAAATGTATATTTGGTTTGTCCCCGAAGTTGCTTTAAAGGTATTTTTTACAGGTCCCCCAGCATCCTGTGAGGAGGAGGATATGAATATGCTATTGTGAGGAGAACCTTAACCAAAAAGATAGGGGCACAGAGAGGTGAAGACGAGTGAAATGAGAACGAAACGTCCCCTGTACTGCTGCAGTAAACCTAGGATCCTCAGACAGTCTCAAGGTGACAGAAGGGATTAGTTAAAATCTAAGTCAAAGTACAACTTCCGTATCCTTGAACCCTGAACTCTGTTCATGTAAATTTGTACTCCTTGCTAATACAGTGCATTCCCATCACATGCATTTAAAACAAGGGGGCATATTTATTTGAAAAACTTTAAGCTGGCCGAGGGCTTTTTTATTATTATTTTTTATTTTTTCCCCGCTGTGAGAAATATTGCAAACATGAAAGCATCTGAACAGGACAAGCAACTTTCGCAAGTAGAAGTGCCTGCTTGGTTTAAATAAGGGTGAGCGGCATTTATAATGCAAGCTTAACACGCTGCGGAGGTTAAGCAGCTGGAGGAGATGCCAGAACACCAGAGCAGCACTGCGGTGCGTGTTTGCGCCATCACAGAAGCAGAAAGTGAGGCATCGTACCAAACAGCTCCGTCCTTTGCATTAAAGATGCAGACGGTTTTTGGCTTTGCTTAGACGAGCACGTAATCATTGCCTGTTACTCACTTTGTCCGTCAGAGGTCCCAGAATTCCCTGAGGAATATAAGAGAGATGGGATTTGGTTACCTCAAGGCAGTCATTTTGGTTGAGCCATCATTAGGAATCTCGGTACATTTACGCTCCGCATTCTCCACAGTCTGAAAGTGCTGAGTCACTTCTGCACTACACTGAAACTTAAAAGGGAATAGAAAAGTCTACAGAAACATACAGCACAAGGTCACTGTCTCGGTAAATTCTCCTTGAGCTGACAAAGGCATGATCACAGTCACCGGTGGCACGCAAACAATCGCATGTTTGAAGTAGCAGATGCAACATCAATCATTTGTGCTGCTGCTAATTAAAATAATTTCTGTCTGAGAAGCATGCCAGACACGTGGCACATACAGTAAGGCTGACAGCCGGCAGTGTGGGCTTTTACTGAATGAAACACCTCATCTGTGACAGCATTACGGTATTGCAAAGCATTGCATCACCCCAAATGGGGGCGAGAACTAAGTTAAAAAATGAGCTGAGATAGTGGTGGAGAAGGGGACTAGGAGAGTGGAGCACATTGAGAGAAAAGGGAGTGAAACAGGCGTTTTGAATGACTATAGAAAAATAATATTGCCACGTTCACAGAGGGGAAGAGGGGAAAATAAAACAGAGAGAGACTAGGGAGAGGAGGGGGAATCCCTGAATGCAGTGTGTTAGGACAGGAAGCGAGGAAAAGCAGAGAGAGAGAAAGTACGCTGCAGACAACGGGTAAAAGAGCAGGGAGAAAAACATTAAGCAGGAGATGGAGTCTGAACTATAAGGTAAGTTATAGGGACTTGCAATTTACTGCTGTCTTGAATAAGCAGAGATTCAGGAAGGTAAGCTACTGAAATTCAGGGAAAAAGTGACTCAGCACCTGATTTCCATGCGTGCCCTGAGGTCCGACTGTGGAAGGTTTATGGTAGTACAGACCACAGAGACAGAGGCACCCCATATCTGAGCAGCAAGCCCCCCCTTTGCCTCTAACTTTATAATGTATATGCAAACTGATGCTGTCTTTCTTCTTTGGAATAAAAGGGTTTCAGTATTAACATTCGCTTGCGAGTAACATTTTATTACTCATATAAATCTGTAATTCGTCAGACAGTGTTATGATTATAAGGTTCTAGGTGTGATCGTGTTTTTAATCCCAACAATGACAACCTTGACCCCTACCCAGCCCTAACCTTAAATATAAGTAACCAAATAAAATACATCAAACATAATATATACATATATTTAGAGTTTTTTGACTGAAGTCGCAGATTATTATAAAACTGAATTTCCCCTCGTGGGGACTGAACAAATGGTCCCCACAATGTCAAAATAACAGGTTTTAATCACATTGTGGGGACACAATGTGAGAAAAATATCTGACCCACACACACACACACACAGACACAAACTTTCTCTCTACTTCACTGAGTCATTTTTGGAAACTAAGGTCATCTGTCTGCAGACTGTCCAGTGCTGGTTATATGAAAACAGATGGTATAGCCCATTAAACATGGATACAGAGCTTCTAAATTATGGGATAGTGTTATGATTTATCCATTATGGTGATTCAGCAATGAGAAAGATGAACTCAAATAAAACGATGGCCTATATTTGATATGTTTAAAAGGTTAAACAATTACAACAATGTTGACATTTCTTCCTGGGATGTTTAATCTGGCAGTTATGAAGGGTGTACATTTACATGTATGACAGCAACTCTGTAATGCTATCTGCAAAACTTCAGCTGTGATCCAGGGCTGACGAGGACTGAGCGAGAGAAGCCCGGCGAAGGCCTGGGGGTGGGATTGAGATTGAGGAGCTACGTGTCACTGTGAACTCAGGGCAAGACTTCTAGAAGAGATTAGGCCGAGGCTCACTCGAAAATTTACCGCACACAAACAACGTGGCATCTGGTCAGCTGCGCAGATCAGGAGGTCCGTTGCCATGGCGGCACACGAGGATGGGCGGGGAACAGGATGCCTACTGAGGCAGCTGGCGTTGAGGGGTGCTCAGGAAGCATAGGCAGATACTTATCAGTAAGGGTCCTTCTGAACATGTGAAATAGCACAGTGCTGGGTGAGATTATTTTAATACAATCGGGCTGCACAGCGGTAATAGGACATCTGACTCAACACTGGCAATATCCAGAATTCACCATTTGAGCTGGGAGATTTAGAAACACTTTAAAGGATCACTGCTGAATGCAACAAGATTAGTGGGCAAATGGAGATTTTCTGTGGCTCTTCCATTGTTCAGATGGCCCAAGGAAAAGTCATTAATAGTTTCCTGCGGGCTCTCTGAAGCATGGGGTGGGTTGGGGGTTGAGTTTTGAGCATTTCAACCAGGACTGAAGACGTAAATCCCACCTGGAGCACCCAGGGTCTTCAGGAACCAGAACACAGGTCTTTGGGTAACCTAAAAATAAATATGAAATCCACTTTTCTAGAAGGATTTGATTTATACTTTGAAAAGGGAAAAACTATTTTCATGGTAAAATAAAATTAAGTTTCTGCCAAGCAATACAATCTGACATCAATTTATCTGTCTAGTCTAGACTTCTCCAAAAACACCCTATCCATCCTGGCAACCAGATCTATTTCATATCTATTTTCAGATGAATAGCTTTTTGTTTATGTGGCCCTATATCTAACACACTTATAACCCTTATATGTTTGCATCTCCAAACCACCCCAGACACAAACACATTTCCCCATTTTAGCCATGGATAAAAATATTGCCAGCCATGCACATTTCCAGAAAATGGTTAAAAAAATAATAAAAAAGAAAGAAAAGGAAAAACTTTTTGTATCTACATAGATGTTTTTTTTATATGCAGTGGAACAGACATGGAACATAAAGCTAAGTCGCTTACTGGTACTAATGTTCTAGCACAATGGGCAAAAAAGTCCTAAACAGGCAAAACGTATTTAGATTTATAGCAGGTGATTCTAATGTGCGTGAAGGCAGAACTCACTTACGGCGAGTGCCTGCAGTTTAAATTTCACTCATTCCACCAGTCCGAAAAGGGAAAAGCACCGTTGGCCCCCATTTCTGCCATTGTTTGTACCGCAAGGAGCATGGAAAAGAGAAAGAGGACCACAGAGCTGTCTGAGGAGGACAGGCAGCAGATCGATGGATAATCTCTGGGATCCAGGTCCATCTGCAGAGGCCTTTCACTTCCTGTTTTCACCACATGTGATGCTGTGAAGAATCTGATCAAAGATTGCAGCAGAGGATTGTGGGAATGGAGGAGAAAGTGACGAACTGCCACAGAGATTCATGCTGACCTTTAGATGCAAGGCACAGTAGCTTCAACTTGTACCCTCCGTCGGTAACTGGATGAAAGTGGGTTATATCTAAGGGACCTGGGAGGACCCCAGTGTGCCATCTCTGCGTTTACAGAAAACAAAATGAAACCTGCGAGCCTTCAGAAGAACAGCATCCCCACAGTCAAACATGGAGGAGGTTCAGTGATGTTCTGTAGTTGCTTTGCTGCCTCTGGCACTCAGTGTCTTGAACGTGTGCAAGATATGGTAAAATCAGGAAAATACGGCGGCATTTCGGAGAGCACTGAGCAGCGTGGAATCAGAAATCCGGGCCTGCTTGGGTATCGCAGGTCCTCCGGCATAGCAATGATTCCAAAGACATTTCAGAAAGAACAGGGGAATGCTTAAAGACAAGATGCTGAACTGTTTTAAAGTGGTCAGCAAGGATTCTGGATCTAAATCCCTTAAAAACCTCTGGAACGACATAATAGAGCAGCAGGGAGAAAGCCACAATTCGGGGAGAAATCAGCCCAAAAATAATGGGTGAGGAGGTAGAGAGATGCAGGAAGCCCATCGATTCCTGGAGGAACCACCTGGCCACCGTTATTATGACCGAAGACCGAATATTACATCCAAGGCGTCAATAGTTTTTCACTGCGTTTTTTACATTTTTTGTCTTAGAAGAATATACTACTGTAAGTTCTTAATCAAAATGAAAGGTGCTGCAATATTAACAAAGAAATAAAGAATTGTGGAGACCAAATCGATTCAGCAATTTTAGCTTATTTTGAGGAAAATTTTTTAGCTATTTGCAAAATGTTCAAGGAGGGTAATGTGATTGGCTGCACATGTGCTAGATGACGCACAATAAAGTGATACAATTAAAGCTTTAGAAACGTAGACTGTACATGCTTCTTAGCTAGACGGGCACTGTTATGAAGTTAAGAATTACTTGGAGAAAATATATTCCTACAACTTCTCAACCCATCCAACCATCCATCCATGAACCATACTTACAGTAGGCATAATGCTCAGTACTTTGACAGACAGACTTAGACATACACACATACACACACACACACACACACATGTTTTTTGGCTGTAGAAGTGCCAGAGCATCAAAAGTCATTTAACGGCTGAACCGCCTGAACCACTTGAGTGTGGCCGTGTGGAATATAACATGCCAAGCAACACAGAGACAAATTTGTGATTTTTGGTGGTTCAAGAAATAAGAGTAACAATGTATGAGGTTCCTGAATGAACTCCATGGTACGGCGCGGCTGCGAATTGCACTGCTGCCATTGATGCCAACTTGGTACAAAAATGCGAAATAAGCCGCTAAACTTCCTAAATGATCTTCCGCTTGGACAAATATCAAAATCTGCATGTATTTAGATACTTTTTAGGTAGTTTTTTTTTTACATACAGCACAACACTTGGCTATGAAATAGTATACTTTACATGTACTGGCCTATAAATGGATTCGGTCAGTTCTTTCCAAAGATGTTAGTTAAAAAAACATTATATATTTAAGAACATAAGAACTATACAAACGAGAGGAGGCCATTCGGCCCATCGAGCTCGCTTGGGGAGAACTTGACTAATAGCTCATTTCTTGCACATTTTTGGTCTTTGCAATTTTATTTCATCAAAAAGATATTTTGATTGGAGCGGAAAAGTGATGTTATTGTCCTGTTTGTTTTTAGTGCAAAAATATTGCATTTTCCTTTTATAGACCCCTGAATATTTTAGATAAAATGAAAAGGGGGTAAATGCAAATCCCCATCCCTTTATTTTGGGGGGGGGCTGTCTTCCAAAAATATAGTATTTATACACAAAGCCAAAGATTTATAACAAGCGTGTGCTGACACACAAACTTATACTCACACATATATATTGTGAGATATGCTTCGCTGAAACTCATTTCCAATGCACACACACCCATACATTTACACAGACAGCCTTGCAGGGTTAGCTGGCTGTGAAACCTTCCGGTGACAATCAGCCGATGAGACTCCCACTGCAGGCACCAGTTGCCCAGTAGGACGTGCGCTTTCGGGCTGGGACCCCCTGTAAATCCTGGTAGGTGGTGCATCCTTTGTTTTATGCTCTACATCAGTGTCTTGTGACTCTCTTCTCCAAAGGTCTATGAATCTCTTCCCGCCTTCATTGCCCTATTTACTGCCTTTTCCCTAAATGCCGTTCGGCCGTGAGAGAGTGATTATTTCTTCACGGTGTGCGTGCTGAGATACATATGAGGCACAGCAGCTATAGGGTGATGTTTTATAAATAGCGGCCTGCTTACCCACCCGAGTGTAGGTTAGGTGCCTGAGCTGACACTCAGGTTCACGATGACATAATTACCTGCCCGTCGGGGGTTGTCAGCTGCTCCAGCAGGTTGCCTTGAGGGCTCGTCTCTGCGGCACGCCGGCTTTTCGGAGCATCCGGTGGGCACTGGGGAGAAGCGGGAAAGGGGTGTCAGCACATCCCAACAGCCAGATCCGATAACCTCGCGGCACAGGAAGTGAGTAGGGGCCCAGAGTGTGGGCCTTGGGAAGTTACTGTAGGGGGAGATCCCCTGACGGGAAAGGTACACCTGTTTATCTAATATTTAGGAAATGTATATAGACGTTAGTGATACTTTCCTCCCAAACTTTCTCGGGGCGACACAGATCTGCCATGGGGGCTGCAGGTTTGCATATTGTTTCCAACCTGTTTAGTTGATTAAACCATGACAGTGACAGAGAATATCATGGCCTGAATTTTGCAAATAGTATTCAAGGATCAGTGGCCCAAGTAAGCAGATTTATATCTGGAACTATTATGTGAGGGTAATTCCTATCCAAACGATAATTTTGCCCAAGCAGTTGAATTCTGAGATACAACAGATACCCGCAGATATACAGCACTGCGCAGAAGAAAATGAGGAAAATGGTTAAGGCTATTTATCTGGGTAATAAGTGTATATTTGCTCTGGAAAAAAAAAACACATAGTAACATTAGGATATATGCAAATTAGCAGCAACATAATAAAAAATAAACACAATTTTGTTCTGTCCTCCACAAAGTTACTGATACCCTATTGGATGGCTAGATGAGCATCGCTTCAGTTCCCAAACCTCTCCCGCCATTCCATGCATTCATTACATTTTACAACCAGCTCACTTAATTAATTAATTAATTAATTAATTAATAGTAAAACACCAGTGAGGTATTAATTAGCTAAGGTGTGCTAGTGGTCAGGTAAAAATGTGTGGGTGCACTGGACGGTCGCTGCAGATACTGGGGAGACATTAGGAGAGGTTTTGAGGTGGATATGCTGACATACTTTGACAGACATAATATGGTAATTTTACACCAACATGAACATTATTTAAACATCACCAAAAATCATTTTCTTTGCCTGCCTACGACTTTTGCACAGTACTGTAAATCTAACCCCCCCCCATATGGCGTGACTGGAAGCCACTGGAAGCCTTGTGATGCGGGGGGGGGGGGGGGGTGACAGCAGAGGTTTAAGTGTCCAGCAGTGTCTGGCAACACCTGACACATGTAGTGTGCCGCTGGTACCCTTTCCGGACTGGGACCCGGGACCCGGCTCGGCATCGTGGCCGAGTTCTATTGTGTTTTGAGCAACGACTCCAGGTGAGCAGGGAGCTGATGATGGGTGTTCCGTCAGCGTGGGGCACATGCAGCTCGTTTGCGCATTAGGGCTTCTCGTTAACTTCCTGACGCTCCAGGCGCAGGGAGCCTAGGTGCCGGGATACCTCCACACCCCTCAACCCGCTGCTGAGACTTGCCCCCTTTAGGCTCTACACACGTAAATTATTATAAAGCCACAAGCAAAGACAAATGCTCAGGATGCACATACACACACGCACACACACACACACACACGCACGCACGCACATGTAGGGTATACATATCCTTATGGGGACCGCTCATTCATTTCAATGGGAAAAATGCTAATGCTAACTATGACAACCTTAACCCCCACCCTGCCCTAACCATAACCATACGTAACCAAACAAAATACAAAAGTTTTTGCATTTTTAGTTTTTTCATAGCAGTCACCAATTTTTATAATAGGGGGAAAAAAACAGATATTTATCGCGTTATGGGGACATTGTGTCCCCATAAGGATAGGTATACCCGCTCGCACGCACGTACACACACACACACACACACACACAGACCCCCATCTCATCCGACATCTCATCCCACACTCTCCTAGCATATTTTCCTCTGCATTTATTTTTGGATTCCCCTCCTTCGCTCACAAACACTCGAGATCAAACGCAGCTCAGCACAGAGGTCTGACACAAGTCGTCTCTGCTTTAAGGTGAAATAAATAAATAAACAGACACCTGCTTCCCGCATGGAAAAAACCTTGGGACCTGAATACGGTGTCTCTCCAGCCCCCAGCCTTGCGAATTTTATCCAAGCACATCCTTCTGGGTCCGCTTTTCCTTAATACTACTTTGATGTTCTCACACAACGCTGGATTATTTCAGATCACAGACTGTTCCTTCATGCTAAACAAAGTCAGTGATACCCAACAGGTCATGCAGCCCTTAATACCGGAATTCCACATTCATAATGCACCCCATCGGACGGCTTGCTTTCACTCCTTGTTTACAGAAAGCTCGTGTTCGCTCTGTGTTACACGTATTGTCAACTGCCTTCACTATTCACAGAAACAAAGTGCTTTAAAACTTTAACTGATACCTAATAACTCAAACACTCAAAGAACAAAACTGTCTACTCTATGGCTTACTAAGACATAGACCTAGGTGACTAATAATACCTTATAGAACACCAGAGTATCTTACTCTTTTTCACATACTATTTTACCATCAGTCTGTGTGATTTTGAAAGCTTTAAGAGAAAAGCTTTCAAAAAGAGGCCCTCATTGTTCCAAGTCATAGAAATGGGAGCCATTTTCATCAGTTACCCTCACCCAGAGCACCTCCCGCTCACCCCATTAGCTCAGAGCTAACCGGGTTTCATGTCGAGGGCCGATCGCAACACTCACCCGGGCTCCTGGGATCTCGCAGCAGGCCTCCTGGATAGCCAGCATGGGGTCGCAGTACACCATCACCTGCTGGATGTCCATCTGAGGGGGGATTAGAGGTGTGAGGCCAAATCGGTGCTCTAACACTTTAACATTACCATTCCCGAGGTCCCAGTCACTAAGACTCCGGCACATAGCTGCCTTGTTCATAAATCGTTTGATTCACCTTTCTTACAGATGTCACTGTCTCTAGCCCATGACCATGCTTATGAGTCTATGCATCTCACCTGACCAGGGGCGGGGCCACAGGGACTCTGGCCTCAGCTGAAAGCTGATTGGCCCCCAGAGTGCCCCTTCCCTGTCACTCACAGATTCAAAACATACCATTGGCTAATGATAAGGTTGGTCTCTCTATTTATTATATGGCCCCTCTTATGCACCCCACCATAAAAAAATCCACCTGTACCCCAGCCGTTCTCCAACCCTGACCCCACCCACAAAAACATTACGGTCTCCAACCCATATCTCCACTCTACTCTGTAAATTCCTCCTCCAGCCCCTGAGCTTTTCTCCCACGTTCAATATGTTTTTCGTTCTGCCCTCAGAACATTTTTTGTGTAAGTAAAACTCCCATGAGCCTCGGACTGCCCCCCTCACCTCCGCGGCGGTGCCATCCGTAGCCCGGATGGCCAGCAGCGTGTGTCCCTGTGTGGGAATCTGCCCCCGGGGTCCCAGAGGCTTGTTCTCGATGGAGCTGCAGTCCACGTGCAGGGAAGCGGCATCCTTGTGCACGCTCAGCGCCACCTTGTGCCAGCGCAGGTCCAGCAGCGACTGCACGCCCTCACCGTCGAAGATGCAGCTCTCGGACTCCGCCCCGCCGTCGGAGCCGCTGCCCTGGGCCCGCATCACCAGTGTCCCCTCCGGACCGTTCAGGTCCAGCGAGAGCTAGAAGGGTCGAGACGTGGGACAGAAAGAGGATGGATATTCGTGATATGGTGCAAATCACACAACAAGAAAGACCCCTAGCTAGGGGTACTGGGGGGCACTCGCTAGGAGGTTTTCAGCTGAAACTGTTTTTAGCTTTTTTAGCCAAAAACCATATAGCCTGCAGTTGGGGAGTGGGGGTGGGTGAGGTGGTAACGGTGAAATTTACCAGCCTTTCTCTGGGCAAATTCACCAACGCTGGTTAGTGGAATGCCGTTATGCTGTTTTGAATTTTCTCTAGAAAATTAACCGATTGATCAGCGGGCCGGATTTAATGATCCTTTAAAAGCCCATCGTGAGCCGGACAGCACACATACAGCGACAGATGATGTAAACTGAAGCGGAGACCTGAGGATGGTGTACCTGGGGGTATCCCTGCTCGTCGGCGATCTGCAGAAGGTAGACGTTGTTTCTGATGGTCTTCTTCTTCAGCTGTAGCGTGAAGACCACCGTGAATTCCTCTGGGAGTCCGTTGGGGAACACCTGACTGGGGAGGGGAGGAGCATCAGAGGTGGCTGACCACTGCGATCGAAATGCGACGGGGCCCCTGGTGGGCACTGCAGTCAGGATGCGAGGGGGCAACCAGTGGGCACTGCAGTCAGGATGCGAGGGGGCAACCAGTGGGCACTGCAGTCAGGATGCGAGNGTGGGCACTGCAGTCAGGATGCGAGGGGGCAACCAGTGGGCACTGCAGTCAGGATGCGAGGGGGCAACCAGTGGGCACTGCAGTCAGGATGCGAGGGGGCAACCAGTTCGCATAAATCTAAGTACAATTGTTGGGGGGGGGGACTGGATCCTGTATGCTGGACATTGTAAGGGGTACACATTTATCTTCTTATACGGGAAAGGTCCCGGCGCTTGTTTGGGCGGGTCTCAAAACCCCCCAGGTCCCCCTAAAGTCTAACACTGATTAGAGTCACTGCAAATCCTGTACAGGGAGAGGAGGGGGTCACCTCCCGATAGACAGAAACATTCAAAGACACAAGCAGACGGGGATCTATGGCAGAAACATGTGGCTGTCCTGTCCACAGGCCACTAACATGCATAATTATAGTACCTAGGGTACCATAGGGAATGTGCACACATTCATCCATTTCCAGGAACCTCTTATCCGGTTAGATTCTCGGTAATCCAGAGCTCGGCACATGAAGGCAGGACTCAGGCCATCACGGAAGAGAAAACATTATTATTTTGCTGCAAATGCTTTTATGCTTTTAGTCACTGCTAATGTTGACATAGCTGGATATTCTTCCAGGAGCGATTCACATTAAGCGTGCTGCTGTAGTCGAGCTCGCAGGAACTCCGAGGGGCTCCTTGGCTCGTACCTACTGTACCGATGCTGGCAGCTGGGTCCTTTCCACACATTTAAATGAGCACAAGTCTGAGCAGAGATGGTAGCCGGTCGCGATGTACTTCAAAGGTGCCATGAATTTATTCCCGGTGAGACAGAGCTCTGCCTCCAGAACACTAGGAAACCTTCTAGGGCAACCCCCCCCCCCATACCCC